GCACGGGACGGGCGCTCGGGCATTGCAATTCCAGGCGCCATTAAAAGCACATCTGGACGCTCCTCGGTGTCGTGGCTTGAGCTTCGCCCGGGATACATAACACTTAGTATTGTACTTGAAGCACATTCTCCGAGTATGTACTTTTACTAGTAGTTAAAGTATTGTTTTCTGTTACTTTTTAAGGAAAATACAACTCCTGATTCCAAAGTACATTCCCCAAATTGATCTTGGTAATTTTCTATCACAAAATGATGCTTTGTCAACCAATAAGTGCCTTGGTGATGCTTTGTCAACAATAAGTGCAATAAGCGAGAAAGGCCCAACTCCCAAGGTGTTGGGCCTTTCTCGGTCTCTCCCTCCTGGCAGGGCCCCCCGTCGCGGCGATGGGAGTCGCGCGCGCTTCGCGATTTCGGTTTTGACGCCCTCTGAGGACACTCGGGCCGTGCTAGGGCCTCGTAAATGCGACCGATTGCGTAACTCCCCCCCGCCCCTTTTATTATTGTTATTATTATTATTATTATTTTTTTAGTATTGTGTGTTTTTTTGTTTGTTATGTTGAACTTTGTTTTCGTTTCCTGGGGGTTGGGCCAACAGACGCACCAGCGTACGGGCTTCCGCCTTTCTGTTTCGCCTCGCACGCCCCCAGGAAAACACCTGTCTGTGCAAATAAAGATTATTATTATTATTATTATTATTGTAAGCTGATTACAATAAATAGCTCGTCAGCGAGAATAAAATTATATGACAACTCGACTTTAATAAAAAAAAGAAAAAAAAAAAAAAACACGCTGAAGACACTTAGGATCTGCTTACGTGTAGGAATGCTTAATCTGCGTTGCTGTGCTTTTCTATGTTTTATTTCTGAGGCGCGTCCGCTTTGACTTTGAGCGGCACGCGCTTGACGACATGTTTTTATGGCCATCTTTCGGGCACAACGCCGACTTTCCCCGTAATGGACATGTAAGGCTTTCACCTTAATAATGGCCGCCATTTCTGAAAATAACTGATGCACCCCCGATTCAGGGGCGGTTCCAAGGGGGGGGGGGGGGGGGGGGGGCGACGACGGGGGCGACCCCCCCCCCCCCCCCTTTCCCCGCTCGGAGGGCAATTTGACACATTGGTGGACCCCCCGAAATAAAACCGACTACCGGCCTGTTAGGTGGTAGCGTGCGACGCGACTGGCGCGCCGCCGCGCGGCCGGTAGCGAAGGTAGGCAGTGAGAACCCCGGAGAAAACGAAACCGAAACCACGCCGCGTACGTTGGTACGCATATTGAAGTCGGAGTGGTGCGGTTGCGCTGGGTTCACAGCATGAAGTGCTGCCTGTGCTGCGTCATTAAGTGCTTCAATAGTTATGCGTCGTGTCTCGTGGAGACAAAGTTTCACAGTTTTTCACCTCGCCGATGTTTTCTGGGACAGCGACAACGATGGAGCCGTGCCGTACGACGCGAGAAATTCGGTCTCCCGATCATGTCTGCCACTGTGTCATCACGGCTGACATATTCTTCACTGCCGCTTTGCGCTCTGCGTTTGTTTTCGTACCAGTAACGCCTACATGTGTAAGCGCCGATAGAACGAACTGAAATGCCATCCCACACTCGCGGTTATGAAATGCCAATTTCGTTGGAGGAATGCCCTCCAAAGAAGTTTCGTCCCCATCGTACGTGTCATTGATATTTCCGGACAAGTATGGCGTGCAATTTGTACTTCATGAAGAAAGATTCGAACGGTAAAAAAAGTGACAAATATAAATCTAAAGAAAACAACAATGAAACTCGGATTCACTGGAGAATCGACGATTGAGTATCGAAGTTTATGTGGTGTGCTTTCTTCCTGGATCAGCCTCCTTTTGGATGTGAAAACGCTGACACCCTGAGTTCTGTAGACAACAATCTTTTTCTCGGCTTTAGAGCCACCTATCGCAAAGTGGTTCGAACTGGAAGTACTGTCCACTGGTCCCTTCCTACCTGTAAAGTGTGCACCTCCCACGATGAGTGGTATTATCGTTGACAGCCTTTGACGGTCAAAACTTGTTCCCATTTAGTTACGCCGCCCAAACTAAATTTCCACCTGGTTTCGCTATGCCAACTCTTTTTGTTATAATAATGTTGTGCCAAGTGACGGTCATGTCAAAGTACCCGTGCGCCGAAAATCAGCACCTCGTACAACAGGTTATTACACAACAGCTGACCGCAAAAGCCCTTGGCGGTCAAACCGTGTGTTCGCCGACAGCTTTGCTTTCTCGGCTTTGGAAGCACCTTTCGTAAAGTTGTTTCAATTGGAAGTACAGTCCACCAGTCCCTTCCTACCTGTAAAGTCTCCACCTCCCGCAATCAGTGGTATTCTCTTGACAGCCTTTTCATGGTCAAAACCGGTTCCCATTGAGTTACGCCGCCCAAACCAAATTTTCACCTGGTTTCCCTATGCCACCTTTTTCTTCTTGTATAATAAGTGCTGTGTCATGTTACTGTCAAGTCCAAGCACCTGTCTGCCCAAATCTGCACCTTGCACAGCCCGCTATAACACAACATTTTGGGTCCAATATTGGATATCCCGTACAGCTTTATTTCTTTATTCGTTATAAACATAACTTTCACACCTGCTGTCTTAAAGAAACTTGGCACTCTTCGTGCACAAACTTAGTGAACATCTCACTCGCCTCCAAATATCATCGTTCCAGCAGTCCTAGGTTTACAGCGACGAGCGAAATAAATTTCCCACTCAGGGCAATTATGGTGGCGGCCGTCTTGTTTTTCGGAAAATTGCTCCAACTCCTTTTTTGGCCGCAACTAGAGAAATTACCCCTAATAACGACTCAAACTCAATATATAAGAAGTGGAGAACAGCTAAATGCCCTTCTGCCCCAGCACTCATGCAACGTCACCCTCAACTTATCGGCTCAAAAAGCAAAAGTTTCGTCCGCGCGCGCTTCCGCCGCCACAGTTTGGCATGCGAAAAGGCGCCGCAGGCTGCTGAACGCGCCTCACAGTCGAACGCCAGCTCCTCCGCTAGCGGCGCTGTGCGCGTTTTTCAAAGCGCCCCCTATAGACCGTTTTATCGTGGGTAGCGCCATTTTGAGAGCGAGAGAGAAAAGGGGAAAGGGCTACCGGCGCTTTCCCCCTTTCTGGTTGTGTAGAAAGAGTGAAAGTCCCGGGGATGGGAGGCTTGGCCGGTGTTGGGTGTCTGCTGTGCCCCAACTTCGTTCGCGCTTTCTTTTTTGTTTGAACCACTCCGTCGCTTCAACCGACACTGAAGTCCCCGGCGGCGGTTTCAAAGCGCCAATAAGTCGGCGCAGCGGCGCAAATCTAGGGGCCGTCGGCGCAGTGTGGTTCTGCGGCAGCTAAAACAAAAGGCGCAACCGAAGTCCTGTTTATGCTACCTTTGAGACCCCCCCCCCCCCCCCCCCTCCCTCCTACAAATTTTTCCGCCCCCCCCCCAAAAAAAAAAGAAAAAAAAAACGGAGTTCTGGATCCGCCCCTGCCCCGATTACCCCCAAAACAATGCATTAAAAAAAAAAAAAAAAACATTATAGCGAAATTAAAGGGCGTTATGAAAGATTGTGTTTATAAGTACTTGTACTTTACTTTGAAAGTACATTGTATTTATAATACTTTACTTCAAGCAGCGATTTCCCTACACACCCCCTATGGGGGTGTACCCCCCCCCCCCCCCCCCCCCCTTTGAAGGCACCCCCTTAATTCGCAACGACTCCTCTATTCTCAATGCCCCTCCCCCTCCCCCCCCCTAATTTCGATTCCTGGGGAAACACCCGACTTCAAGTACATTGCTCCCGGTGTTCTTACTAGTTTACTTGAAGTACAATACCGTTAATATACTTTGTACTTTAAGTACTTTTTGAATCTACTTTACCCAACACAGTTATCTTTTTTATATATTTCCAATAACTGAATGAGTTTGGCACAGTTTATAGTGTTCAACCCCCTTTCTATAAATGTGGTGTTAGCTTTGATATAGCTTGTTTTTTGTTCTAAATGCAATGCACATGCAAAAAAAAAGTTTTTGTGAACAGATGGGTATGGTAACATTTAAGAACCTAGTAAAATCAACTAATTTGCTCCTTTTAAGCCACCGAGTGTAATGAACAACCAAAATAATGTGTGAGACCTCTTTTATTTTATATTTAAAAACCCTAAAACACCATTTTCTAAGGGCTAACCTAAGTTTCTTGAGTTTTTCTTAAGTACAAAAATATACATTCTTACCAAAACCTTGAAAGTTGCCTTCCACGAATCCTACCTATCCTGAGCAGATGCATGCCAAATTTGGTTGTGATAGGACACAAAACTTCTGGACTAACTGTAAAGATGCCACAAAACTAAAAATAAATGCGTTTCAATATTACGACGGAAGTGTAGTGACACTCTTTCATGGCGGGAAAAATATTTGATTATTAATTTTTTTGTGAGAAATTGAAGCTAAAGACGAATGAGGAGACGGCTAGGCCTACCTCTCAAAATGAATGTGATTGCGGGCAACGTCACAACTTGAAGAACCGCACACACAAACGGGAGTTTTTTAAATATGTATTTGACTAATTCCGCTATCATATTCAATCCTTATTATTTTATACATAAAATAGGAAGATTCAGAGGTAAAACATCCTTAACACAAAATCAGTTCTTGCTAAACATTGCCGCTTTTCGACCCGCATCTCCCCTTAATTTCATAGTGCACACTACAAAAATAACCGCCTACAAATAGGCTTTCATCAGCTTGAATTTTGGTTGGTTTGCTTTGTTTGCAAGTTCACTCACTGCGCACCTTGTGTAGCACACTGACTGCCATGATTCGAGTAATGTGAATGTCAGCACTTCTATTTACTGCACCAAGTTCTTCTAATCATCTTAGACTTTGTGAAATCACACAATTAACTAAGGCAGGCCATACACTTCCTTTCAGGTAAACACATTTAAAATGGCTTGGGGCTGTCGTCATCTACCAAAAAAGTGTTCACAATGATGAAACATACCCTTCCCGTAGGTACGAGCCGCAAAGCTTGCAACCAGAGCTCTTCAGAAGGTCCACGGGACAAAATACACTGTCGGCACTTCCACAAGCCTGCTCTGTGAGTAGACGTTCACCAGTGCAGTTTATGAGTCTACTCTAACAGTGGAGCAATAGCCAAATATAAAACTAATGCACCTAGTACATTCTTACAATGGGCACACTACCGAAGATTTTAAAATGGAGGTTTGATGACAGCAATAAATGCACAAGCAGAGCACTTAACTTTCTTTGGTGCAAATCCACTCGCTAAATCGAGACGAAAGAAGGCCCGACTTGTGCTTGCTCCGATTCGAACCAAGTGCACTTGTCATGCAGACGTGGCATCTGGGGGCTCCGACGACTGGGCACTGGGAGAGGCCCAAATCCCCTACTCGTACACCGTGGAGCTTCGAGACACAGGAAGGCATGGCTTTACGCTGCCCAGGGACCAGATCGTTCCCACAGGAGAGGAGACGTGGGCAGGCATCAAGGCACTGCTGCTTGAACTTGCAAAAAAGGTTTGAGTGCCACGGGGCTGCCGGCGTGCACTAGGGTTTCGCCCAATCACCGAGCTTTGTCACCTTAGTGCTTCAGGTGTCCCTGGAAAGCAGGCTCAACAGGCTTTGCACTCTTCAAGCTGTGATACTTCTTGTTTGCTACCATGTGCTCCAGAAATCACTTTGGTCACTCATACTTTTGGCTGCTACCATTGAGCCAATATGATATCATGTTTGCTGTGAAGCAGAGTGAATCATGTAGACTTTCTTTTCTCATTGAAAAATATGAACACAAACCACTCACCTCAAATGCCAACTCAAAAAAATGCCGCACGATTTTGTACACTAAACTGCAATGTACTAAGATAACTTACTTTTACGTACAACACACACAACACACAGCTGGCCTAATGATAGAGCTTTACTTTTACGTGCAACACACACAACACACAGCTGGCCTAATGATAGAGCTTGTGCACATTTTGATAGTACAGGTTGGCGCCAAAAATCGCACGTAATTCAGAACATGCAAATCTAGTTCCACGCCATTATTTTAAAAATGAAAGTGTGGGTATATATAAAACAGAAATTGCAAACATGATTCCAACAAAACCGTATGTGTGATTTATGTGCAGTAAAAATACCCTTGTTTTCGGAAAATAGCATAGAACAATTTTCACATACTGAAAATTGTAGGTAACTTTTGGCTGGTTTTTCGCGCATGTGTTTCAGCCTTTGCAATCTATTCCACACGTGCAAACATGCCACAACGTAGCAACTTCGACAGCAGCAGCTGTCGCAAGAAAAAAAAAAGCATAAAAAACCAGCAACCAAGCATTTGTGTTGCATATGTACACACACTAGCAGATAGATATTGAATGGGATAGAAACTATAGGAGGCCTATCGTATTGTAAGCCCTCTTCCACAAAATTTCAGACAAACTTGTTTGTAGGAGAAACATAGTATAGATGCAAAGGACAGAAAATTTAGCAATAGCTCCAGAGGGTACCACAATGTTTCTCTTGTACGAAAGTCGGCCAGTGGTGTACCAACTTGTTTTTGAGTTAGGGAAGGGCAAACTGGACCCCCCCCCCCCAGGGCCAGGGGGCGGTGCCCTTGGTATCCAATGGGCGTCACCAGCCAGTGTTTGTCCTGCCCAGTGGCGGCTGTTTCAGTGGGGGCAAAACACATGCCTTGGCCCCCCACCACTCCGAGAACTGGGGGGACAAGCACCCCTCTTGCACCCACGGTTTGTACGCCCATGAGGTCGGCACTTAGTCAGCACTGAGAGCTTGGACATCTCGCGTAAAATAAGGTCACTGAACTGTTTATAAACCGATACAACGACGCTGCATAAAATTTAAAGGGACACTGACACCCCCCAAATAATTTTTATTTTTTTCCAGGCGATTCATTATTGTCAGAAGACTACACAATCAATATTTTGCTACAGCATCAAATATATATTTAACAAAGTAAAAAATGCAACTGGTCGAAATCAAACTGGGGAGGAAGTAGAAATATAGAGGGAGGACAAATGTTACCAGAAGTCATGTGACTGTGCAGTTTTTTTTTTCAATTAGCATTTTGCAACATTTTAGAAGCCAAAAAATGGGTGACTTATTTTGTCTGTTTTTAATATTGAGTGTGTGCCTTCGATGACCCACAACCTTGATTATCTTTGGTGATTGTGTCTAAAGCATAGAAAACGGCACGTGACCATATAGAAGAGTGTGAGCGCGACTCAAACTGGTCGGTTCTCGGGCGGAAAGAAAACTCATTTCAAGCTACAAATTGTGTTCTGGGTAGTTGGGCTCTCATATGTCATGTACAAATAAAAACCTTGGCAAGCATAAATACCCTGCCAGTGTCCCTTTAATGAGTTTGGTGACCCAGAAACCTTCAGTCAGATGACTGTTTAAGGCATCATGGTAGTGACTCTTGCAGGAAGTCACTCCAGCAGACATGCTTGCTAATGAGAGCAAAACTTTCACACATCTTCCCTTCTCTCACCTCTAATGAGCCGAGTCTACATGTACTTTCGTGTCAAGCTTCGAGAAAAAAAAAGCAAAAATTAGAGATACCGCAATTGTTTTGTTGCAAGTGGTACATCAATACATGGTTCACACTGTTTCATGTAACTTACAATACCGTATTTACTCGCAGAATGAACGCACTTTTTTTTCCGAAAAATCGATGCAAAGTTAGGGGGGGCGTTCATTACGCGCGGTAAAATTTTTGCATCGGTTATTTACTCGCATAATGAACGGACCTTTTATCCTGAAAAATCGAAGTAACTTCTTATCTCTCTGCGCGCGGCTCCCGACCCCGCATTTAAACTAAGCTGTGCAAAAAAAAATATTTTTTTTTTCTCTTAGTTCTTTGGTTTTTTTTTTTTTTTTTTTTTTGCTGCCTTTCGCAAGCTGTTTTGTTTGCTTAGGCGAGGGCTTTCCGCTTATCTTTCTCATCTCCTTGCGCGCGGCCCGCGACGCACGACCTCCCGTAACCAAACTGCGCTGTGCAAAAAAAAAAAAAAAAAAAGCTCCTCTTTTTCTTGTTTTTTTTTCTCAGTTCCGTGGGTTGTTCTTTTTTTTTTTTTGCCGCCTTTCGCAAGCTGTTTTGTTTGCTTAGAGGGCTTCCCCGCTCCTTTTTGTTACCTCCTTGCGCGCGGCGCGCGACCCCCCGTAACCTGTGCAAAAAAGAAAAAAAAGCTCCTCTTTGTTTTTGTTTTCTCTTAGTTCCGTGGGTTTCTCTTCTTTCTTTTTGTCGCCTTTCGCAAGCTGTTTCCTTCGCTTAGAGCGCTTCTCCGCTTCTCTTTCTTACCTCCTTGCGCGCGGCGGCGCGCGAACCCAAAGTCCAGACTGCGCTGTGCAAAAAAAAAAAAAAAAGCTCCTCTGGCATGTTTCTTTTTTTCTTGCTTCGGTTGGATCTTGGCAAATTTTGTTAACGCCTTTTGCAAGGCGTTTTGTTCGACTCGCTGCCCATGCATTCGCGACCTCGCTGCACCAGGATAGAAAAGTGCGTTCATTTCGCGCGCGTGGGAGGAGGGGGTCAAAATTTTGACCTCCGAGTTGGGGGTGCGTTTATTACGCGAGTGAAAAAAAAAGTCGAAATTGTGAGAGCCGACTTGGGGGGTGCGTTCATTACGCGAGTGCGTTCATTGTGCGAGTAAATACGGTATATTAATCCAACCATGTTTTGTTCCAAAATAAAATCACTACCCCCTTGTGTTCATCAGTCGTCACCCTTTTGTTTCAGAAGACAACTCTTTTTTCCTCATGTGTGCACATCAGTCAAGAACTCTCTACCACGCATGTGCTCAAGCCTCAAGGTTTAAATTAGTATTAACTAGAACCACTCAACGGTTTACTTCCTGGAAGACTATGCAATATCTTATACCCGTGCTCAACCTCTCGAGGTTAAGCAGAAGGGTATAAAATTCATGCGTCCGAAGTCACATCAAAGGTGATGGCCGATGTCTCGCTCTGAAAAACGGATTGCCGTGCATGCACACTGCTCACAGCTTCTTCAGGCAAACATGCCTATAAGAAGCTGGCACGTGCTGCACAGCCTTGTTCACCACACACCACATGGAGCCAACATCTCCATAAGCCATCAATAAAGGTAAAAGGTGAGCATCTTTTGTAATACGTTTCTGTAGAGAGAGAGAAAAAAAAAGTGTCACCAATATTCAAAGTTCAATGACATCTTCGCCATGTCAATTCATTTTTTTATTTAAATAGTACACCACTCGGCAGTACTCTCTACAACATTTTCGAGAAAAAAAAAGAAGACTAATGTGGTGTCCAGAAACGAAAGAAGAATTTCACCACACAGGTGTCAGTCACTCTGCCAATCAAATGAAACCGAAAAAAACAAAATGAAGGACTACTCGGTTCCCAATTTACAAACATAACTTGCATAACTGATAATCTGTTTACAAGAAAGCACTTTAAAACAGTGCAACAAACCTTGTGCCTGCTTTACAAAGCTAGCTGGTGCAAGTCTACCACATGCACCACAGTGCTTCCCAAGTGAAACAATGAAAGCCCCCCAACACAAGTAGTATATGTACACATCTGAAATAACAGCAGTTTTAATTAAACATTTTGTACAAATAACCTTTAAAAAAACCCAATTAAAAGCATCTGTAGTGTCTGCCTATTCTACATATACAAATCTGTTAATTCTGTCAAATACTGTATGTTTAAAACTCCTGCACTTGCATGCTAGTGTTCGGAAGGTGAACAGGATCACTATCTGCAAAACCTGTTCTTATACTTTGAATGTCTCATATTTTTGGCTCTAGGAAGTGAAATGTTAAGAAAGTAGCTTTGAACTTGCGAGAAATGCAGTTGCAACATTTGCTAAATTTCCTTTTTCTTTACAACTTAAGAAAACAACAAGTTTGCTAACCTCAAGACTTTTTTGTCATTGAACAGTGCAAACAGATTACAAGAAACATAAGCAAGTTTAAAATACTAACTAAAGATAAAATAAAATTCGGAGATTAATTACTTTCTGCAAGCATTGATTTTGCCCCAAGCAAGTAGCAAGTTGTTCCTGCTAAACATCCCAAACGAGATTACTATGAGAAAACTTGTTGGCACACAAGCACATGCTCAATTTCGCTTTGCCCCACCACCACTGAAATTCTACAATATAGAGTAGGCAAAAATGGGGATGTCACTGCCTTGTCCACCATTCACATATTCAGGGAAAGGACATTTGGGGGGGTTACCAACACTCACACCAATTCTTTTCTTCTATAAAGCACCAACCTGTCCCGTTCAACCAAAACAGACATACCCCAAATGCCCACATGCATGCACTTGTCAAACTTGCAACACTTGAACAATGTACAGGATATCAAAGTTTCTTTCCAAGAAGACACACTGTTGATGGAAAAATGCAGTGCATTTAACAAACTTGGCCACAGTGAACGACCTCCTTTGATTTTGACACAACAAACCTTAACTGGACAGAAAGAGATAGCCGGAATGCACTTTTTTCGTGCCTGTTAGTAAAACCAATTTTGTCACATCGACTTTCTTGCAGAATGTCCAAAGTAAGCCTTAAATCACGCACAATGAGCTGGACATGTTGAATTGCAACAACTCCATCTCACAGACACCTTGGCATACACTCTGTGGTAGACTAGGTAAGCCTGAAACTTGACCAACAGCTGAAGAAGCCAGTTTCTGTAGATGGATTACTAACAAACCAGGACAGAATAAAGTTGTTTCCAACAAAGAATGCCACTCGCAAACTCACTTCCGGAGATCTTGCTTCGAGTACCAACACATTGGCTTTCCCACATGGACAGCACAAGATGGCATATCACGTTGACATGCATTATATGTTCAACGCACACACCATTACACGCACATTCACCATGTTTCACACATCTGGGAGGGGAGCTATTTACACGGAAGGCATGGCCTAGGAAGAGCTGGCCAGTGCCGACGACGTTGCAAAGCTGGATGCAGGTCGTCTGTGTTCATAGTTGACTAGACGCCGGCCAACCAGGTACCTGCAGTGCAGAAATTTCTTGTTTAATAAACAAGCCAAGGTCAATCTCTGGTTCGCTAGGTTACAAAACTGCAGACCCAACTAAAGTTGGGAGATTCCCGGTTTAAGATGAATGTGGAGGACGACACGAAAGAGTCACCACAAAAGAAAACAAATAAACACAAATGGGACCTACTTATCGTTCTTGATGTGCTCGTAGAGTCGGCAGAACTGTCGCACCTGGAACACCATGAACGCAGTGAAGGCACACAGTGCCAGCAGAGAAGGGTAAATCCTCCGAAGCACAAGGTTCTGTGTCTCTTCCATGGCCCCTGCACACGGAAACCAAACACTAGTGGCAGCTCCTTTCTAGAGACGCTACCAGAAGGAAGAGCAAGTGGCATCTTTGACAGAACCAATTCACACAAGCGTCAATATAAAAATGTTCTATCTGTGGGAATCCAAGCTGTTTTGTGTTCTAGGGCAGTTTATCTTGGTATTTTGCTCAAGCGGAGTCCTCGCTAGCCTGCAAGGTGAGTGGGATTGGGTTATAGCCAAATAAGCCTGGAGACCAAGTGCTGGTAGAGCCACTGTGTGGGGGCCTTAAAGGGCTTATAGCGACTTGTCTCTAAAGGCACTAGTGGACTCCTTCTTTCTGTCAGTACACATGTGGTCAGAAAGTTAAAATGATAGAGGGCGACCATTACATGTCTCTCTGTCAAGATAGGCTTGTGAAATCAACATAAAGTGAGCCTCTATTACCAACTAGGCTGGTGGCTTTGTCAAATCGACCAGCAGCAACTGGAGAAGATACAACCCAACATGTGGCTGCCGGTGCACCATAAAAGGAAAACTTTACTCCCTCGATTAATGCGGGCTTTGAAGAGCCACCTAAACCAGGCACACCTATCGCGCAAGGGAGAAAAAGATCAACAATATGCTTTCCCGATTTCCACAACAAAAAGAATTACATCAGCCTTGCCTCACCCCTTGACAATCAAATGTTTTTTTGTTCTTTTTTAAGATGTTTTTCAGTGGTTTGGTTTTGTTTGCAAAGGAATAGTATAAAGAAAGAATCAACGCACAAGGGTTTTTCCTAATTATCTAGCGGGAGCACATACAGTGCTTGGAAGTTGTTTAGGTTTAGAAGCATCAAATGAAAATACTGAAGCGAAAAGTTGTCACGTTTCTTTTATTCAGTTCCATTTTGGTGCATCCACTTCAAAGACATTTCAACGGCTTCAGATTCCTAACCGGAGGTACTTTACAGAACTTCTCCTTCAGATGAACAACTCTCATCCTCTAAATTTAACTCCGAAAGTGTTGGAAGTCTGAATCGGAAGAGCCAGTGCTTCCATTGGCACTACCGCCAGAGCGGCCGATATGCGAAGTAAGCATCACGTGTGTGGAGCATCTGATTTGGAAGCTATAAATAGTCCAGCAAAGGAAAACTATGTGCGAATATAATATTTACAGTTCACCAAAGACATAACTAATAGCAACACCTCCGGTGGTGTGCGCAGCTTCGCAATTCTGCAGGCACCTTAAAACGTGTAATCCCCGCCATACATGTACGGCGACGACCAGCAAAGGGTTAACTAAAAAAAAAAAAAAGATGATTGCAGAATGTTCCTCACAGATATGAAAAAGGCTATGCAAAATACTATCTCTTAGTACCATAAATTGATTAATAAATGCTGAAATTGAAAACAACTACACCACACCCCAATATTCCTCTCGACATTCGAGCTGTTCAGAACACAAAGGTTCCAAATAGTGCTAAGTCATCTGCAAGGCAAAATGCATTCACATGCAACAAGCCACTAGTTCTAAAAGAAAGGCCACCCTCCACTGTCAGTATATAAGCTGTGATCCTGTCTTATTGTCATGAGCTCACAGCTCTGAAAGCTATTCCCGCAGCACAAGTGCTGACCCATCCTCAAAAACTACATGGTTTCGTGGCAGTGCATGCAGTACAAGTGACTCACCAAATGCAGGAACAATGCTGCAGGCTAGGACGTAAGGCACAGCCAGTGCCAGACCGAGGGCCACCACTACAGGTGTCACCAAATCCACAACAATCAGGTGCAGATTGATATTACGCAGTCCATCGTGGTACATCTGCAATGGTATGCCAAGACCACATCGCTGAAACTTGCAAGTTGTCAACGCGCCAGCCCCGGAATTCCCTTTTAGAAACATATACCATGAATGTGCAATAAAGACAGCTTCATGTTCATCAGTATGTACCCTTCTACACTTTTAAGCCTGAATAATGGCAAAGAGGGAGGAAAGGGGAAGAGAAGGAGAGGGGATAGCTGTAGTCGGAATGAAAAAGAACCCATTACAGTGGAACCCCAGCTATTCGTCACCTGTTTATAAGACGTCCCATATTTAGCGACGATTTTGTGCAGGCCAGGCAAACTCCCCATAGAAATAATGTAATAGAAGTTTGGATTTCACAATGTGCAATTACATAAATAAGTTGGCCAAAATTGTTAAAAAGGGAACTACCCGATGCCGCAGCACTTTGGACGAAGGTGACGGGGTCGCAGTCTGCATACACCCACAATAGTGCTGCTCATTTATTTCTGAGGTTGTGGCACTTGAAAAGAAATTACTGATCACTTTTCATCTGAAAATGAGGTACGGTGTTTGCACGATTCTAACGCACACCCAATGCTAACGCACAGGCAGATTCAGCTTCCAGATATTCAAAAAGTAAACTGCTGCCGGTTCTACCATGCAGGTAAAATAATGCAGATTGAACACATTCCTCGTAGAATATATTTCATGAAATGCACGCCAACACAAAAACAAATGCCGTACACTAATCGCCATTGTCAGAGTCCAACAATGGTTCTTCGCTGCCCACAGAGGTAATCCTTGCTTTCGTCCAAAGCGTTTTAAAGGGGCCCTGCAATCATATTTAAGCGTCTACCTTTTTTGCGGTTTCCAGGTCTCTTGAGGTTCGGGCAAGCCAGCGGGCACGGAGTTAGTAACTAAATATCAGTCCGTCATATTTTAACCGGACGACGCGGAAACCTCCTCCACCTACGAGGGCGACCTGCGTTGGCGAAAGCGCGCGATATGTGACGTCTTTAGTCCTGGGCTTACTACTGGTCAAAACCGCTAAAATCTTTTCTTTTAGTCGAGATACAAAATATAAGTGTCGCGAACCGTTTCAATTATGTATGAAAATAGTTTTTGTTCAGTATTTTAGATCAGAAAAGAAACAAATGCAGTTTATAAAGCACGAAAACAAGAAGGGCCCGTCGACATACTCACCACCAAGCGGCGGAAAAAACGGCGCATACTAGAAAGGGCTAGTGGGATGAGGCGCCGACGAACGGCTTGCGTAGAAAGGTCCCGGATGTACGCGGCGGCGCTGCGGTCGTATACTGGCTCGAGGATCCGACCGGTTCCGAGTGTTCCGAAGGCTTTCGGCGCGGGCTTGGCTGGCGATTTTGCCATTTGGCGGTATGGCAGCGCGAAGTGGCCCCCGTTCTGAACTGATATTTACCCCGTGTTTGCTGTCGTTTGTGGCCAATGAAGTGTTATGCCGAATTAAGTCTTTAATCGTGCAGCAAAAGCAATGCGAGCCGCCCTGGCCGCCCGCTTCATACAGCCCATCCAACACGTGCTTGAGTGGCGCTCTCTTGAGCCGTCGACACGGAGTGCGGCAGCCGTGAGCGCTTGATGAGCTCACTATCCCTCCTCTAGTTCACGGCCACTCAAGCCAGGACCTACGACGTCATGATGGACGTTATTTTTTGCTTGTTTTTGTAATTCTAATTTGCCTATAACTTTTAAAATAAAGCGAAATTTGAGAAAAGAAAAGTTTCTTTAAGTTACTACGTTCAGTGCGCTCAGGATCGGTGCAAATTAAAATCAGTCAAAACGTTGTTGCAGGGCCCCTTTAAGTGCCGCGCTTCTTGCGCATGTACGAGTGCGCGACCGTCACCTTGCGAGCTCGTCGGGTTTCTGGGATGGCGAGGCCACGCAGTGCTGCTCCGTGTTATTTTTTCCCGCCAGCGTGATGGACTTTCGTAAAGCCTCCTAGTGAAATTATTTTTGTTTTTCCATCTTAAAACGGCAGACGCGAGTCTGTAGAGGAGAGAGAATGCGCGTGATACGCATACCAAAATGGCAAATATAAACAAATGGTCACGTTGGCGATGGGACTAGCCACCTTATACAGAGTACAGTCGACTCTCGTTAATTCAAAATCTCTTAATTCAAACTTTCGGATAATTCAAACTAACGCGCAGGCCCCATCCTATGTGTCTCAATGGGAAGAAACTCCTGATAATTCAAACTTTGCTTTATTCAAACAAATTTGCGGCCCCCCTCGAGTTTGAATTAATGAGCGTCGACTGTATTGCCTTTTTCTTGAGTTTTGGTTTTTGGTTACAGTTGTAACGTGCATGTAATTTTGGCCATTGATTTTGGCGAAAAAAAAGTGTGTTAGAATCGTGCAAACACGGTAAGTTGAAAATAAAATGTTATCATTGCCTTTACCACACCACACTCTGGTTTTCTTTATTTCTTTGAGGGCTTTATTCTTTAGCCTGGCAGATTATTAGCTTAAAAGTAATTTTAGAAGTTCCGCATTTTTTTTTTTTTTTTTTTCTGTGGGGCCGAGTACTGAAGTTCAAACATTGTTTTTCGGGTTATTCAGATTATATGTTTTCATGCAGTCCCATGAAGGTCAGAAGGAAACGAAAACAAAGAACCCAATCTTTTTGAGTTTTATCCTATCTTAAAACTACGAAGTGTGCGAATACCGAATAGTAGTTATCGAATCGAATACCGAATCAAATTAAGAAAAAAAAAAGCCGAATATCGAATCGAATAGTGATTTTATTTGTAGGAATTTTAGATTATTATGTCTGCAGAGTTTGTGCCTGGTGCAGAGTACGCACCTCGCACGGAACAAAAGCTCAAATGTGTAAAATTTTTGGTGGAAAACAAAAAGCAGCTGCTCATGGGCGTTGGGCACTAAATATCTAACCTTATAGAGCATACATAATCTATCCACACTAAGCGTCACAAAAAACCAAAAGTTACAGCCACACGTGCCTTTCTTGTTAAAAGCACGACTTAACACCACGACATGTCCTTTTTTATATTTATATATCTCAGAAAAGGGGCATTTTGCGATCTTTGGTCTCAATTTTAAGGGCGAAAAAACGCATCCAAGACTTTTTTTAACATAAATTAACAGATAGCTTTTAAATCTGAGTTAACAGTCTTAAACAATAAAATCTGATGTAAAACAAAGCATGTGGTTAGGTGGCCTGAGTCACCGTCCAACTGCCGCTATGCATAGATTTCTCCGTCCATCTATCCTGTTTAATACCTCTCTCAGACGGGCACCCAAAAGGACCTTTATGCCAAAGGCCTTTAGGATTTTCAAATTGCCTTTACGTTCAGCCGTGCCAGACAGCGCAAGTAAATGTCATTTAGACAATGTTTACAGCGATTGAAGTTTCGAAGCTCAATTCAAATGCATATATAAAGTTTTTCTGAAGCAAGCAATATATTATAAAAGACAAAATGACGAGTTTAGTCGAGTGATTACAACAAAGTCCTCTTCAAGCCCAAGCAAAGTAGTTTCTTGGCGATTAGCGGCAACCCTGGGCATCTCCCGCTTCAGTCCTAACGTTGCTCGTGCTCCGTCCTTTCCGTGCTTCTGCTAAGCTTTTGCCTTGTTCGGTTCTGTGTCGTGCTCGCCACTTGAGGTTCATCGCACGCGTCGGAGGTCCTCCAGATGATCTTCCCAAAGTCGTATCAGCGCCCAGGTCGCCTCAACGCTCCAAAGGAAGTGCGGCGACCCCTTCCTACTCGTCGACACTCGGCCGTCGTTCGATGTAAAGCACGACGTGAGAGTAAGATACAGAAATATATATGTACAAAAAGACATTAAATATATACAGTATGGATAGTAATATAAGTAGAGAAATAAAAGCTAGATAAAAATGTTTGTAAAGAAAATCGAGAGGAGGAAAACCGGAGTACCAAAGCGGACGACGCGAGCAGGCGACGACGAGGCCTACTAGATAGCTGGGGCCGTGAGTACAGAAAACTATTCGTAGAGCGAGATTTGTACAGAATATACGTGAAACACGCTCTTTCTCAATAATAAAAATATAAACGCATTGATTTTAGATATCGGTACAATCTTTTATTTCAAATCGCTTCTCTAGTGTAGACCGCTGCTAACGAGAGTAGGCCTTGAGCAGCCGTAAAGGAGTTGCGGGAACTCAGGTTCACGAAAAGGACCTTTACGCTAAATGCCATTTGAGTTGCCCTGTGGCACTGCCTAAATGACATGTACACTAAAGGTCCTTAGGCGTAAAGGTCCTTTTCGGTGCCCGTCTGACAGGGGTATTAAAGAGCCTAGATTTAAAAGAGGGAGCAAGCGAAACTGGAACCACTGAGACGGCTCCAGCGCAGATCGGTCGTGAGTGTGCATGTGTTGTGTAGTTGCGTGGACTCTTAAACCAGGAAGTCGAAAAAGTGTGAAGTGAAATATGACAGTGCAAAATGTCAAGGGAAACATACCTCGTCGATGACCCTCTTCAACCACCAGTTGGGGCCCATGAGTGTCACGGCACAGATGATCTTGGTGTGAAGGACCCCCAGTGCCCAGTCCTGATTGCGTGCATTGCACGGAGAAAAAGCAACAATTTAATTGGTCAACTTAGTACATTAGGACAGCACTAGCCAAATTCCGGCAGAGAGGTTACAGGCTAAATCTTACAGCATGTAAGCCCCACTCTGGCAGCAGTTGAATTAACGTCAGCAAATCAACCTCCTGGGCTTGAAGAGACCCTAAACTTCTAAAGAATGTTTTTTGCTCAAGTGCGAGGATAGAGAGCACATATACCTATATAAATGGATGGATGCTAATGGCTGACCTCCTGAAAAAACATTTTGAAGTGTCTGGAGTGCAGATGTATGCCTCAAACAAAATCCCCCCCCCCCCCCCCCCTAAAAAAGAAAAAAAAAAAAAAAAAAAAGAGAGAGAGAGAAAAAATTTTTTTAGAATAATATTTATATTTCAAGATTCATTTTGAGCGAGCGGAAATCTCATAACATGCTTCTATTTTGTTATGTCAAGAGATTTTGAGTGCACAAAAAAAACTGGCAGAAATCTAACACTTTGAAAAAAAAAAAAAAATGAATGCAAAATTTTTAATTAAACTCTTATGAATGCCTCTAAGCTCAATTCAATGTACAGAGCCAACATTCGTTCTTGCAGTGCTCAAGTATGCTGCGTGACACTGTTAGTGTGAATGCAACACAGACACTTTTTCACACTTCTTTTTAAAATGGTACCCGACGGGCACCATATTCTACTGCTCACATTAGTGCCCAAAATTATCACTTTCCACAACACTAAAAGTTTTGATGACAGCTTTTCAATTTGAAAAGAAAAGATTGAGGAAAACTGCGATTGCTCGTTTGTGCTAACAGTGTTTTGCTACACACAGCCCATTCAAATCACTGCTGCCTTCTTCGCCCCTTCGAGCAGTCACTTCTTGCAACTGCAACAAACTGGCTTATCAACCAACTGAAGCTCCAGAGGATGTCTGACATCATGCAAAACTGATGCCCACATTCTCAATGAAACCCCACTAGCAAAACAAACGGCCATTATTTACGGTATACGAATGGAGGGGAGGGACGGGCGACTTACATGCCACAGGTAGAGGAGAGGGGTGGTGTTGAGCGGCACCCTGAGCGGAATAATGACCACAAGGTCAAACAGAAGCCCCATCAGCAGAGGAATGAGGCCCAGCAGCAGGCTCATGGCCACGGCCGATTTTACAGACTGCAAGAAAAAAGCAATCGACGACCCCAATGGCAATCAACTCCAATTTTGCTTGGCCAGGCACTGCACAAACGGGCTGGCTCACTGGCATTAGCAAGGAAACAAGCCCCTGGCCCAGCATTTCACTAAGAGGAGGACTGTTCCTCCAGAGATCCCATAAACATGCCTGGAAAAAGATTTTTTCTACAGTATAAACAAAAGCACAAGCACATGTATACATATATGAAGGCTGTGAACAGCAAATGCTATTAAGTTGAAACGACACAGACCAGAAGCGAGATGTCACAGTTGCCTTTTATGCAAATATGGAAGTTTCGTCAACTGGAGCATACCTGTCTCCCAGATTTTACGTAGGGTCTACCAACACCTTGAATGGAAATTTGAATACGCTACTAAACAATGGCAACCGTGCCTTCCTATGCCCCCATGCGGAGAATTAAACGAGGCCATGCACTCAGTGTGTCGCTCTAGGGCAGGCACTCAACTCAAGGTTGAGGGATGTGGAGACTTACAATGAGCATCCAGGAGTGCAGCTTGGTGAGGATGGTGTTCCAGCCTCTGGGTAGCCAGCTGCAGAGCAAAGTGAGGCAGCGCAGCGCCAGCCAGCAGGAGTACAGCCCACACGCTGCAGTGTAGAACTCGTGCACCCGGCCACCGGGCATCAGCAGCAGCATCACTAGCCGGCCCATGCTTACTGTGGGTAAACATAGAAGGCAGGCGTAGCGGTTGTTAAGCGCATTCCCACTCCTACCACCGAGGGAATTTCTTTCCAACTCGAGAGAAGGTGGGCAAAATGCCTAGGCATATCTCGTTAGCAGGCAAACCAAAGAGTTTTTCTACAATGGTGCGCAGATATTTTCTACAGTCGCTCACCGATTTCTCAGCCTCCATCGGGATTACGTGCAAAAGTCTGAATACTGAAGCAGTCTGGAAAACCAATTTCATTTGAATTATGAAATTCTCACAAAACTTCAGATTGGTGGCCACTTTCCACTTGTTCGATGGAAATATTGAACTCTCGTACAAGTTCCGTGCCATACGGACTACTTTACCCTCGTTTGATAATCGCAGCTTTCTTCTCTGTTGTCACAGAGCTTTATTGGACTAGTTTTATTATGAATCTTCTGGCACTGTTTGACAATGTTCTGCCAGCCAAGATCCCTTTGCTACTAGGCCTATAGACAGAAAGCGCACTCGAATGATGGCAGGAATGCCCGGTGGCGAATGGCTACCGGCAGTAGGGAGCAGGCAAGAAACGATTTTGCAAACACGTCCGAAATTTTGGCATCCCAAAAACCGGCCAGTGACACAGATAAGGGTTTCAAACAATACGAATGAAATGTAGTTTTTGTAAAAATCGACACACTATGCAATGACAAGCCAGTACACCAATGTTGCTTGAACATTATTACAGCCAAATGTTTTTCTAACTCTAATATATTAAGACAATTTTGGTTTAAGCCCCACATTTCCCCTTAATATTTTATCGTAAAGGCTATACTGTCTGCCACCTACACGAGAACATGTGCCACAACGAAGACACTAAAAACGGGCCTTTAATTAATCTCGGAAACCTAACCAGAGCCCTCCAACGAATTGAGCCTTTCCCCCCAGCGGCTGGACAGCCATCAGGAAGAAGCAAGATTTGTCAGATTTCGGGCCACAAACTATATAAGATGGTGGAAAGAAACAGTAAAAGCACGGAATTATTTCATGTAGTCCAGAGGAAATCTCAAGGAAGTTGGCGAATAACACCGTCGTTTCGAGTCTTTCCTATTCTGGAGAAATACCCCGTAATTCATGCAACAACTCCCTCCCCACCCGATGTGCCGTGATACCACTGACTCTGGCAATAGGCCGACATGCCTCATTTACAGACGATGAAAGATTTTGGTCTTTAGCTCGGCACGCAAAGCCCATCCCGATCGCCAGAAAAGCACAGTACGGGCGTATCCCTTGACCCCTGCCAGGGAGCCCCTCTGACCTGGTACAGTAAGCAGGAAGAAGCTCATGGCTGTCAGGCTGAGGCAGATGAAGAGCAGCAGGAAGGCCACCCGAACGGGGAACCAGGGGGGCCTGCGGTATGCCTGGAATCCCGAAGGTCCCACCCCTTGGAGCAGGGCCTGGTGGGCAGCGGCAAGCACTCCCGGCTGCAAGCCTTCTCCCTCCCCTTCCTCCTCCTCTTCCTCATCTTCTGCTCCTTCTTCCAGAAGCTCTTCAAGGGCCTGCGAAGATGACCGACCACAATCGAGTAGAACACCTGCTGGCTTCATTGGCACCAAGCAAAACACCCCTTGGACAACTCCATTCAATAATGGTCAGATCCAACAGCTCACTGCTATCAAACATGTGCTGTCCTGCCTTCCGACATGACATTCATTAATGCAAACAAGTATGCGATTGATGGGGACACCATTATGTTTAGTTCACTGAGCTAACAGAAATGCTGGAAACGTCCAAGGCTTTTCCATTTTACCTTGAATATAGCTCATTTAAGTACTTTACATTAAACTTACCCTTGTAATGTCTACACCTCATACTCCACACAAATTTTTTAATATGACATCTCGAGGCAATAAAACACTGTACTCTGAAGTAGAACCGAAGATATCATATCACATCCAGTAATAAAACAGGAATGAGCCAATTTTGAATAGCACAACACTGTTGTTCGGGTTACCTGGAGCACATGTTGTGGAGGATCCACTTCAGGACTTGCCTCCGCCTCTGTTTCTCCCGTCGACACGGAATCTAGTGAAAGGTCTGTTGCATATCCATCCTGCAGGAGTCGGTTTGGAAAAACACGCATCCCGTGAAACAACAGTGGCAGTCATCAACTGCTCCCATTGTTGCCTGATGAGCCTCAGGCACCTTCACTATGGCCCTCAATATAAGCGGGGACACAGAGATCTGATGGTGCTATCGTATGGTCCCTTGCCTTATACCTCCTCAATCCAGAGTCATCATCATTTCGATTTTTATTTACTTGAAGGATACTGTGGTTTTTAATGAGAGCCATAGCAGGTATGATATACATCAATTCATTTTAGCATACATATACAGCTGAACCTGGTTCCAACGAAGTCGATGGGAATCGGAACCTGGGAGTCCCCCCGAAAAATCACTTTTTTTTAATGCACACGGCAGGTGATGGTCACGCACCATATAGCATAGCCTTATGTAATGGCTGCTGTCCTATTTTTGTAAACTTTCAGTACAAAGCAGCTGCAACAAAGTCATATTTCTGTTCCTTACTATAAAGTCATTTCTGCTTATTACAGTGGCCACGCTCCAAGATTGCCGTTTGGTATATGCACGTATGCGCACTTCAGCAAAAGTGCCATTCATTGAAATTCTGAGCCAACTAAGCTCTACTGTATATAGCGGCTCTTAGAGGCTCTATTTGGTAAGGTCCCGTTTATCGCGGCCTTCGGTATTGTAGCAGAGACGCGCGGAAATTTAAACTGGAGCTTAAGTTAACATATTTTTGTTTATCACATTATCGATATATCAAACTATTTTACGATCCTCTTTGAATTCGATACATCCGGGTTCCACTGCATACTTCCAGTCCATATACAGTTCATCATTTCAAGTACTACAATCCAGCCTTGAACATAAAGTGCTTCCAGCAGCTAAATGCTACTCATACATTAAGTGGCAAAAACGACAGTAGCATTTTAATATAAAAACATTGTAAATGCCCTTCAGTAGCTGGGAAGCCCAGTGGTATCTTCAGCTTCAACCACAGCCGTCGGGACCCTAGTCATGGCACAAATAAAAAAAAACTACCACATCTCCACGTGGTGAATGATGTTGATTGGGGCGAAGCTCTGGTGGTGCTTGTCTGCGTAGACGCTGAGCCGCAGCATGCCGAGCCTTTCGTTTGTTTTCATCCATGTCACGCTGCGGTCAAATGCTCAAATGCGTATATAATTACGTTCCATACCACACATTCTTTCTGACATGGATGAGAACGAACAAAAGGCTCGGCATGCTGCGGCTCACCGTCTACGCAGGCAAGCACCACCAGAGCTTCGCCCCAATCAACATCATTCACCACGTGGAGATGCGCTTTTTTTTTTTTTTTTCCCCCCTACACAAGCACGGGAGCACATGCTCACGTGCTCGTGAGCACGTGAGCTCACGAGCACGAGCACCCGACGCCGGACGGACATACGGACATGGCTAGCCCCTAGGGAGCTTCTCCCCTAAAATATTTGAAATAAAAATTTCAAAGAGAGTGTAGTTTACACGTCAAACAAATTTTTCAGCGGTAGCTGTTAGAGCCCCTTTCTGGCAAAATCCAGCGGCAGCCATATGCAAAAACCACATGATCACGGGGAGAGCGATAGCGTTGCCGCACTCTCCCTCTCTTCCCGACATGGTCGCACCAGCACTCACTCAGTTTTTCCCCAAACATGGGCAGACGACGCAAGATTCGCTCTCTGCCCGCGAAGTGGGAGTGGCAAGGATACCACACTGAGGAGAGTAGACGGAGGGCTGCAGTGGCGCAAGAACAGCAAAGGGCGCAGGAACTTGACTATCACGCACAAAAGTAAATCTCTACTAAAAGTAAAGCTCCTAAAACAAATCGACTAAATGCATACCTCCTAAAGCACATCTTTCAACAACGCAAGAGTTGCCACTGTCGATCGCAGCTCCCTTTGTGTGGTCGTTTGAAATCTCTTGATTCTGCCGCTTCTCTAAACTTTCTTGAGCAAACGTCACTTTAGAAATTGTGACTTAAAAAAGAAACAAGCGTGCCAGAGCAAACGAGGCCTTGCCAACCTGTGCCGAGGTGTCGGCAGAGGCATCAGCAGAGGCGTCGGCAGAGGCGTCAGCCGAGGCGTCGGCAGAGGCGTCGGCAGAGGCGTCGGCAGAGGCGTCGGCCGAGGTGTCGGCCGAGGTGTCGGCAGAGGCGTCGGCAGAGGCGTCAGCAGAGGCATCCTCGGGAGTGAGGGGCACGTCACCCAGCAAGTAAGAGCGTAGATCCAGCAGGTACGAGACGCACAAGCACCAGCCACGCACAAGGGCCTTCAGCCACTGCTTCATGTGACCCTGCTCCAGCAGGGTGGGCAGCACCACCTGCAGCAGAATCAGCTCCAGCGAGATCTCCTGCGTCGGGCTGTCGCTGCAAGGAGCGAGCAGACAAAGTGGTTACTGCCTTCTCAAGAGCCCCTTAGCTGCAGGCAGCGCTGAAGAAGGCTGCATTTTGTCGCCACACACAACTGATTTTGAGCCTCCAAATGCTCCAAAACAAATGGATCCACAGCCAACCCTCCGACACCCATAGCTTACCATGTCACAGGGTTGCCCAGTTACGTCGAGCAAACTCCTTTTTAAGGTCGATGATAAGCTTTCTGAAAAGTTAGCTGTCTCTTAGCTTTCTTCGGAGCTCAACTGCCGCAAAGCCGTTTTTGTTAACGTCAGCTTGATTTATAGACCAACTCAACTCTCCAATCTACCGCCCCTGAGGTGGCACGTGCTGTCGGCACTGCGCACATGCAGACACTTCACTCCTCCCGAATTTGGTTTCTGCACACACGCAAAGCCCACACCTGGTGTGGGCAAAGTGGACTTGTCTGTAAACGGTGTGATGGTGCATACTTCAAAAATTCATAAAAAGTTATCGGCGTGCACACACCCTCTAAAAAACGCAAACATACAAGGATCGTCGAGCCCAAGGAAGAGGTGGAAAAGATTGAAAAAAGAAAGGATTAGCATCCCAGTTAAACGGCCCTGGGTGCGCCGAAATCAACAATGGACAACGAGTGTCCTAGCCACGAGGAAAGATGGAAATTAATCAAAACTGGGGAAGCCCATGATCACGACTGTTGCGCAAGCATGCAGTGGCATTCAACTGCTGTGCTTAACTCCTCGTGCATGGTGCGTGAGAGAAGGAATATCAATCTTGAGTGGACATTTTCTACGGTAGCAGTGTTTGTATGCTATTAATTAGTGGTGTTTTTGAATGCTCGGAGCACGTAGATCCCTGAAGCAGGTGCACTGCATGCAGCATGTGAAATTTCTGTGCTCAGTCAGGGAAACTGCTGGTTAAGTAGGTACACAATGATGGGTTAGAGCAGTGGTTCTCAAACGGGGGCCCGAAGGCCCTATAGGGTCCCTGAAGGTTTTCTTGGTGTCCCTGAAGTCTTAGACCATCAATTGAGCCGAGCACTATACAATTTTTTTTTTTAATCCAGGCTGGCTGCCCCACAAACATAAATAGACGAAACCATGTGCATAAATGAGTAGGGTGGATTATTCTGGATTATTCTCCATTTTTACGGATGCAAAGTTGGTTTGCATGCACTCAGTTTTCTTCATTCAGGGGTGGAAACAAGCTTCAGCCTTTTGTAGCAGGCCTGGGAGCAGAAAAGATGCCCCTTTGGAGCAGCTCTGAAGTAGTAAAAGCTCCGATTTAGAGCAGCTCAGGAGCCACAAAAGTCGAGTTTCATGGCGGCATAAGTAAATCTTGGAGCTGGTCACCCAGGTCAAAATTGGGGCTCTAAACATGGAGGTGTTTTCCTTAATACAAAAATATCAAAAAGAAAAAGCATCTCAATGTTATGTTTCAGAACCATTTCCAAACATACCGTTTCCCTAAACATAACCCCTCCCATAGCATAAAAAAGCAAACAGCGTAATTGCAATTTATCCGAATGGCAGCTATTGAGAACTGCCCTTGTAGTGAGTTGGTTCCTCTTATGGACTTCCAATAGAAGGCATATTCAACAAAAGAAGCACAACTCAAGCCTCATGAAAAGAAAACATTGTTCCTATTTAACAGCCTAAATCACAAGTTCCATAAGTTGAAAACAAAACCCATTCAAGATGCAATTGTGTGGTATGTAAGAAATCCCAATACTTACTGACTACATTTTTCATGATTATAAAATACAAATGTTCCAAGTTCCTTTTTAGCAAACACCAAAATGCATTCCAACACTCAAGTAAGCAGAATAGAAATCTACTCTATCTAATAAAAGGACAAACGAAAAATATTGAAAACGTAGTCATTTCATTCCTGCTCATACATATGCCACTTGGGCCCTTACTAAAACAAGCATGACTGAATAGAATAAAAAAAAAAAAACTTGTTTAAGATTTTGTTAAGAAAGAAAGTGACTGAAAAAACACGAGTCTTTACAGATGGGGAAACCAATTATAGTTTTTACTGTTACATTAGGACAGGAATGAGGAGCGCAGAAGCGGTCTTGGCAAAAGCAAACACCCTAAAGACACAAACAACAAAATTATGCCAAATGTTTAATTTTGTAGAGTATTTATCGCTTTCTTCAGAGATTAGAAGATATGTGAACACATGCCAGTAGGCTGCTAGGTATGTTTAGATACCGTAAAGTCCTAAAAAAAATGCCCACTCAAAATTAAAATATAAATGTAAAAAAATGTGAAGTAATATTCGAGGTTGCGGCAGTACAATTTGATTAAATAATTGGTGATAAGCACGGCGGGAATTCGCTACGCACCCCAAGCCCATATCACAAGCGAATGACGTTTTAGCGAACAGCGACGTTTTAGCGAATAACGGGTGCGCGCGTCAACCCCCTCCCCCTGCACTGCACTTTCGCCGCTTCGCGGCGGCAGTCTGCGGCGACTCATTAGAAAAAATGCTAACCCACTTGACTCCCACCCCAAGTAAGTGCCTCCTGTACTCCCCTGTCACGGGAATGGCAGCCAAACACGGATGCAGCACATGTCCTAGCCATGTGCTGCATCCTCGGCATCCTCGGGAGTGAGGGGCACGTCACGCAGACGGTACGAGCGTAGGTCCAGCAGGTCCCTCATTAGAAAAAATGCTAACCCACTTGACTTGACTTGACCCCCCCCCCCCCCCCCCCGAAGGGAATGCCTCCTGTACTCCCCTGTCACGGGAATGGCAGCCAAACGCGGATGCAGCACATTCGCGCTTCACAGTGCACGCAAGAACCTTCTACAAACTCCAGTGTCACGGGAACCGACATCGCGAGCACAAATCCAGAAGAAAAAAAAAGGGGGGAATGAATTAGGTATTTGCATGTCATGGGAACGGATACCGCAGATTGCGGATGCTGCAGATTCGTGTGTCACGGTACGATAAACATGAGGCAACCTGCGGTGAACGCCCTTGTCACACGTACCGATACTGCAGATCACGCGGTTAATGTTTTGGGATTTTTATGTTCTAGATCAGGAGTTCTCAAACTTTTTCGTCCCAGGGAACCCCAGCAAGCATCAAAAAGTCCCCAGAAACCCTCCCCCACCCTCTCCCTTTGTCGCCAACCAAAAATACTGGGCATTAAAGGCCTTTAGATAGTGAACACGAGTTTATTGCACTGACAGAATAACACGAAATGGAGGACTACAGACAAAATGAGAACGCAGAGGGGTTGATTTGGTTCACAATGTAAAATACATTAGTGCGAAAGGTGACGGTGCTTTGGGTTAAACTAGGGGGGGGGCACTGCAATTTCAATGCTCGCAGAACCCATGAGACCAGCTCGTGGAACCCCTGTGTTCCACGGAACCCAGTTTGAGAACCCCCTGTTCTAGATATTCAGGGGTTCATCCAAAACTTGACGGTATACGCGATTTAATGTGTACGGTATTTCGAATACATGCGGCCATGCTCAGCGCCACCGTGCAAAGAAAATAATAAAGTAGTAAACAACGAACTGATGTTTTAGTACTTCTGACAAAGCCACCTATTCATGTCTCATTTTAGGAGATCAGACAATTACACGCCCGTTGTTGGCTGAGCATTAATGGCACGAAGCAACGCACCCAAAGTGCTTGGGAGGCACTGGTATGGGGAACGGAAATAAACACACAACTTTTATTGTGTGCGGCTCATATTTGTCCAAATACAGTATACTTCTGAACAATAAAATTGTTTACTTTTCCTCGCGTTCCACACGGATGACTTACACAACCAACTCGCGTGGTTCACTCTCGTGCTGCTGGCACTCGACAACTTGTCAAAAACCACGAAACGAAATGGAACACTGTTCATTTACCTGGTCCAAAATAAATCATGATCATTTTCGTTCAATGAAAATTGGCATTTGGTGCCTGTTTTCATCAAACAAAAATTAACTGCTTTAAGAAAAAACACAAGCCTAAATTTTTTTTTTTTTTTTTTTTTAATTTGTTTTTTAATTTTGAGGTTTTCAGTTTTAGAAACTAATTATACACCCTTAACTAAATTTCATGACAATACGCCAAATAGTTACGTTAATATAAAATATTTTCAACACATTGTGAGGCAGTAAATAAAGTAAAGGAGTTCAATGTTTGAATGCATTTTTCTCAGTTCCACTTTTTGCTGCAAATTTCATACGAAGGAATCTTTTGTTCGAAGGTGAAAGTATTCTGTTACCACAATCAAGATGTTTCTGAACTCTTCCACTTTATATTCAAGCAGTCAAAATGGTGCTTATTAGCTTGATTTGCATATCATAGATTTCTTAATGAAAAGTGACACACCATCTTATGCAGGTATGTAAATTTGTCCTAGAGAGCTGAAACTTTGCACAGTACACCTACATCTGAAGCTAAATCTCCCTAGCAAATTTCATTCCGATCACTTGAGTAGTTCAAAAGTTTGACCTCTAGCCAGTGTCCCCCCTTAATGCAGTTAATTTTTGCCAGTTAACTGCTTCCCATTAACTGCTTTGGCGCAACGTTTGCACTTGGAGGCAGGATGGCGCAGCGAAAGTGGATTGGTGCACAATTGGCACAGTGCTTCTACCCCTGTTCATTTACCCGGTTGTCATAGCCATCATTCATACTACACCTTGCCCCTGGTGGATGGGGTCCCCCATCACTTCCCCCGATCCAAAAGGAGTCCCCTAAACATCTGTGGTCAAGAACCACAGGGTTAGAGCATTGAAATTCCTGAAGCAGGAACTTCCCCCAAATTTAATGCAAGGTCAGTATAGGCAGGCTTATAATGATCGCTCAGAAATGGGGAATTAAGCTGGAGACAAGTGGGCGTAAGCAAAATCAGTGCTATCCAGCGACCGGTTCGCTCACCTTGAGATGATGACGTGGTAGGGCAGGAACCCGGGCAGAAGGGCCTGGATGACACGCACGGGCACCCAGACCATGAGCAGCACTGTGGTGCCAAAGATGACCAGCGACACGAGGAAGCGTCGCACGTGTTGCAGAATGGGCAGGTGGATCATCTATGAGGGAGAACGTTCCTTTTCGACACCTGGTTTTGCACGCTGCACTGGCCGTGCGCAAGGAATGCCTAGCTAATAAAACCAGCTGCGAAAGCTATTCTCAGACTCACAATAAACGGCACAACTACTTATTCAGGTTAAGGGCACTCCTCTCTTAACATCCTCGATACAATTTTTTTTTTAGAATGTGCATGTTCCACGAAAAGCATGCAAGAAAACAGTCGGGTGTTTTGGTGCACCTTTTCCTCCCGGAAGTGGGACTGTGTAGCAAAGCTGAACCGGCACAGCACAGTACAAATGGCGCGGCACAAATGGCGCGGCACAAATGGCGCAGCACAAATGGCGCGGCACAAATGGCGCGGCACAAATGGCGCGGCACAAATGGCGCGGCACAAATGGCACAGCACAAATGGCGCGGCACTTCTGCCCCTGAACTACCCCCCACTTCCCACTAAATATTGAGGCCCTTGCTCTCGATACCTGCAGCTGCTAGCCATCTGCCCCCACACCCCCAGCAGCTTCCAAACAAATAAGGGCTGACCTCCTGGATAGGGTTGAAGTCGGGGTCGTTGAGGTTGCGGAGGAACCAGAGGAGTCCTGGCCGGAGCACCTCCCGCAGCAGGAGCACGAAGGAGGCAAAGTAGAAGACGTACACCATGCCAACTAGCCAGTGTAGGAACATAAATGTGCCTGGAGCCAGCTGGAAGCTAGACTCTCGATCCGAGAGGGTGGCGTCCAGCATCGTCTGCAACGCACATGCCCATCCTTGGTTAGCCGCTTGGCAGCCGTAGTTGCCAACACGTTTTTCTAAAGCAAATGCCCAGCTGTTCCTAAATCGCTTCAAAGGCCAAAAAAAAAAAAAAAAGACGTCGCGATGTGGTATTTTAAAGAAGGTCTGCTAATCCACCTAAACAGCAGACAAAACTAAACCTTTAACAGAAACTGCAGCTAGTGCCGACCTCCTTTCAATAGTGCCACACCACTGTGTTTACACTGCGGTAAAACTAAAAATTAAAGAAAAAAGAAAAGTAATAAAATGTTTTATCAATTGCATTCAGTATTCACGTCGGGTTGTACAAATAGGATGGAAATGCAGCAAAGGCTCGAAGGAAGAACTTAGATAGTTACCCCCCTCCGAGACTTCAAGTGACAATCTCAAAGATTTCAAAGAGCGCTAGCTATTTCAGCACCCTCGAAAGGGTTCAGTTCCTTGGGGGAAACCTTAGCCACTATTCCATGGCTTACTTAGGCACCTAAATTAGATTAGGATAATCTAATTTAGGTGCCTAATAATCTAATTTAGGAAACATTTAAGATAAACGGCACCTAAATTTTCGAGCGAAACGGGACGTAAATTTTCATTGACTGCAACGCGTCATGTGGTGCTATTGCAACAGTGCCATCGTTGCTAAGGAGCCAGCCAGACTGTTGGTGGCGCAGCGGGAGGGTGGGACGCGGGCATGCACTGGCCTGACATTAGGCCTAAAACAATAGGCCTATCGTTACGCTTTGAGGTCTAACGCCGTCAACTGGTACCCACAGCTAGGGCGATGATGATGACGGTGAGAGGACATGTGATTTCAGCACGCGCCAGCCGCGCTTTGCACTCCCGCCGCCGCCTCACTTAGTGGCGCAGCTGTCACCAACGAGCCAGGGATGCTTCCGCATTCACACCTCATAAGAAGCGCCTAGGTGTCCTCGGAGTTTTTTTTTTAGCTTTCCCAGACAATGTAAAATACAAAGCTAAGATGGAAATGATTTATTGCCGCAAGGCCAGAAATGTTCAGTTCATCTCGAAAACTCACGAGGGAGCAGATGTCGAGCCACCAGCCGCAGACGAGGGGAAACAGGCCAATTTCAACCACTGAGAGAAGAGACACCTTGACCACAACATAGCAGAGGCCCAACAGCCGCTGGGTTCGCCTCAGCTTGGCCAGAGACGCCAAGGCGTGCAGCAGCACCAAGGCAATGCCCACAATCACGTAGCCGCACAGCGTCGTCAGCAGGCCCTCAAATTGGGATGCCGTCACCTGCAACCGAGGAACGCACGTCATCAGGGAGTGTATAGGGTGTGGAACTCCTCATGACCCTTTGGTTTTGCAATATCCAACAGTAGACGAGTCTTGATTCATTCAGGAAAAAAAATTATTGTCTAAAAATTAATTCTGTGATATTACGGTTTTTTCGTTCCAATTTATCCACTGTTATAGCACCTCTACCACATACGATAAGTCAAATTTGAGGGCTTTATTCGTCAAACTAATGAAGGGCACCTGGCACGTCCCAGCAGAGGACTGAGGATTAATTTCGACACCTTGGGAATTTTTTGATGTGCAACCGAAATTTTAGTTATATGGCATGGCGCCTTCCTCGCAATAAGCCTTCATCAGATAGTAGGCACCTCGGCCGGGGTTCTAACACGCCAAATGAGGATCAGTAGGCCGACACTTTACCTCAGAGTCACAGAGGCAGCACCATGTAGGATAAAAGCTTCTAAATAACTGACAAATATAACCTTTCTCTGATGCTCTCCAAGGTCAAATGTAATACAAGCCCAAAATAAATATACAAGGACATAAAAATTTGGATTAGAGTCACATTAGCATAACACTGGCCTAATTTATTAACAATATCACACTGGTCATAAAGAAAATATGCAAGCTCTCATGACGAATAGCCTCAACAAACACACATACACACAGAAAAGTAACTCACATAGTTTTTCAAGCGAAATCCCAGGATTGCAAACTGGCCAATGTGGTAAGGACAGAATGCTGCAAAAACGAAAAGATCAATATTGATGATAGCAAGTAAAATCAAACAAAAATATTTCAATGGTTACTGCAAGCAATGAACACACAAGTAACCAGAAAATATATAGAAGATGAAAGTTTAACAAGCGAGTCACAGCAGCACACTCACCAAACACAAGGATGAAGAGCGTGTTGAGCGAGACCACCCAAAAGACGTGCTCCTGCATCACACAACATCCACTCGTTAAAAGTCTGAAAATGAGTTTAAAAAAAAGTATTTCGAAGTTCTTACCAGAAATACCAATGAACCATCAAGTCCAAGGAGCTGCAGAAAGAACACAAGGCACCTGTCAATTCTTCCCTGTCAAGTGAGGTGAAACGTGTTAAAAAGAAAATAGAAGCAAACTTGCCCTTTCCCAAGTGAGTTCCTCGGCTGCTCTGTCCCACTCGATAGGATTCCAATTGATGTCATCTGGGCAGACACCAGAAAAAGAGTCAGAAAACATAACACGATAAATGTGCACCTGCTTAGGTGCTTATATATAACATAGGAGAGGTAATTAAAGACAAAATGCAGTACTGGTATCTTTAAAGGGCAACTCAGCTTAATTCCAAAAATTTTAGAGTAGAAACAGCCGACTCATTGTAAAATGCATCAGGACTGGATTATGCAGCAATGCGGGGATCTTAATAAATATACAATTAGAAAAGGGCCTCTGCTACGGTAAACGCCAACCGAACGGAACTATATGGTCAGTTCATAATAGAGCCAGACAGACTTTTTCCATACTCAAGCCTTCGAAGCATATCGTGTGAATGCACCACCATGCATTCAACAACATGGTCTGCTAGGTGGTAGATCTAGCAGACTTCGTTCAAGAACAACATGGCAATTTAGTACAGCGCTTCTGATGCGGCAAACACACTAAGACGTTGCAGGGACAAAAGACAGGGACACACAGGTAAAATGTTTCACACAGTCAAAACTTCTAGTTAAGGTCTATAAGTGTCCACTGAACAAAAATGTAGTTAAATGAGGGCTTGTTGTTGGGCTAGTTGGGGCATGAAGCTCAAGAAACTCGTAAGTGCAAACAAAGACAGACACGATGAAGGGGACATGAACAAAAGCTTGTCCATGTTGCCTTCTTGGGAACAGTCTTTGTTTGCACCTACAAATTTTTTTGTGTTTTTAAAAATAAAAAGCTTCCACTTATTTATCTCCAAATTGGAGAAAGGAGAGAGAGATAAAAGAAACTCGGTTGTTGCTTGACGAGCCTCTCTCTCCATCAGCAGCAATAAAAAAAGCAACCACAAACACAATATTTTTTAAAGCAAGATGCAAAACAAAAATAATGTAAAACACACAAAAAAACTAAAATCATACAATTAATTTAGTAATTATACAGGGTGTCTCAAATAGCGGCCAGGCTCTTTGTAAATTTTATAGAAAAAATGCACAAACTGTGGGAAACGCTGCACAAAATCATAGTGTGATAGGTTAAGAAACCGGTTTTTGTAGTCGATTTAAAAAGCCTGGCCGCGATTTGAGATGCTCTATACATTTATAGCATAGATGGGTTAATCTTAAACAAATAATGACCGTATGTTTTGAACAGATTCATTCAGAATTTCAATGCTATGAGCACAAAAACAATTTAAAAGTTGGGGAAGTGTACATTTTAGCATCTGACTGCCGTAAGTTGCACTGGAGTGCAGTACTATCCATGCCCCAGACCTACAAACATCATACACTGCTTCCCTATGCTCTAGGTGAGAGATTGCCATGTAAATCTTTTGATTGTGTTTAAAAAATTGTATGAAACAGCGAGTATAAAGTTATAATGATTTAAATTTGCACAATATTTAGTTTATTAAAGAGTACTTTCCTATGATTATCATATGTAACACAATGGGAAATATACATTTATATATAATACCAACAGCCCTTCAGTTTATTACATGAGGTTAGTGTCATCACAGACCATGAACTGATTAAATATTATTCCCACTACTTTTACACTTTCCATTCTATCTATATTATTTGCACCAAGCGAGAGGACAGACATGCATACAGTTTGTATTTCATGATCTAAATATAATGGCTTTTGTTTTGTTGACATTATTTGTAAAGAATTTGATGTTGCCCAATAATTTCACATAATTAAGAATTGATTTGCATTCTGTATAATTTGCTCGGCATCATTCCCTCAAAAGAATACACCGGTATCATTGACATAGATAACATATTTAACTTTAGTGTCAATATTTACAATGTCATTTATATACAAGTGGGCTCAATCACTACCTTTTCGGTGCACCTGCTGTTAATGGCCCGAGACCATATATCTATTTCTACACATTGATACCGATCCCGGAGATAACTCCTTATCATATTTAGTACAACATTGTGCACACCTAAAATATACAACTTTTGAATTAGCCTCTTATGATAAGCTCCCCTCCCACCTCAAGTTAATATTGAGGTCCCGCACATACGCAGCACGACACCAAATCCCCGCGACAATCCGGTGCACACCTTGAGCGGCGTTGTTTACGTCGTTGACGTCTCCCGCGGCCGGGATGTCCTCGGCATGATGTGGCGCCGGTCCCAGTGCTCCTGGGGCGCCATTCACATCGTGCAGACCGTGCTCTCCGCCCGCCGCTGCCTCTCCGAGACCTTCCTGGTTCTGCAGTGACCAAACCAGAAGGCCCAAAGGGCAACTGGGCTCTCGCGCTATGCCCCCAAAAGACACAGTTGCTGCCTCTACACAGAAGAGAGAGGCCGTTCAAAATACACATGGGCAAAAGAAAACATTTTATACTCCGCTTCATTGTAAAGTTGGGCCATAGTCGATGCTACGAGCCGATGGGTCAATCAAGCAGCACCGAAACTGCAAAGTCAAGGCGTTTGTCGTCTTTTTGTGTGTAAGTTAGTCTACTAATCCACTCTGGTGCACAGAGTATGCCATCACCTAGAGCTTTTAGTACATTCATACGTGCATCTTTCACCTGTGACTGTGCTCAGACTTGTGGTAAAAGGATATGGTATACTGAATTTACTCACATAATGAACGCACTTTGTTTCCCAAAAAATTTACATATATTTGGGGGGTGCGTTCATTACGCGGGGTAAAAACTTCTACATTTACACACTTCGTGCAAATGTCATATTAGGTGCCAATATGACACAGCAAGGTACTGTGGCATGTCTCTACTGATGAAGACGCACCCATGGCTGGCTGGGGGTGCGCCACAGTAACCAGGCTTTATAATTGCGAACCTTTTAGGGCGCTTTTGGCGTGCATTTTGCTGGAGGAAAGGCGCCCTACGAAGCTCACTCAGCACGGAGAGCAATGCGACCGTTCTTAGGCCTAACCACTTTCAAGCTTTTACTGTCTGAAAGCGGACCATAGACGACGGCGTGTTTGTTGACATCAATACATCCGGTAGGCGAAGAATGTCCGGGACTGGGCAATCCCTCAACCCAAGCTCCTTCACGTGTGCGCGCCGCTCGGTTCCACGGTTGATCACTTCTGCAACTACACACTTGCAGCCATAACGAGAGCGACTTGGCTTGGCCTGACTTGGACTGACCGCTTGGCAAAAGAAAATTGGCTTGGTGGGCTTAGCGGCTAGCTAAGTTGGACGCAATTTGAGACTCGTGGAGCTGAAAATTGGAGGTGCGTTCATTCCGCGAGGGAAAACAAATGTAGGGCCCTTCCACTTCACGTGAAGATGGAGGACCAGCGAAGCTGTTATCTTTACGACGTCTAAGACGATGTCTACAGGGGTGGAAGCGGGCTAGAGACTTTTGTATCAGGGCTGGGAGCAGCAAAAGTCCCACTTTGGAGCAGTTTTGGAGCAGTAAGACGCTCGCTTTAGAGCAGCTCGGGAGCAGCAAAATAAGTTTTGTAGCCGTAGAAGTAGGTTTTGCAGCAGGTCACGGAGGTCAAACAAATGTCTAAAAGTGATTTGTTGTTTCTAAATGTGAAAATGTAGCAAAAATATATGCATGCACATCCCAGAATAATTTTCAAGCAACATACATACACATTTTTCTATTTCTATTGCATTGAAATATGGAATATTGGCAATTTATGCAAAGGAAAGGCTTTGAGAACCATTCCGGCAGCAGGCAGAGTAATGATAGACTTTATATGGGAGGCCCCGACAATAAAAGCCTAACTTGAGCCACGCCAGTACAAAACCGTCTACTTAATAGACCAATTGTAAACATGTATCCAGAAAACTAAACCACTGCAAGGTGTCAGATAAACTACCTTCGCTGACTACAGTTTTTGTTTAATAAAGAATACACATGTTCAATCACTACTTAAAAAGCCCTATATCAAGTTTAGTAACAAAATACAAGGCTACTGACATTTGACAAAAATTCAGATGCAAAAATAAAATGTGTATTTTATATCTTTAGACTACCACAGTCACTCGCACATATGCAGCTTTAAGCATCGACTAGAAGAGCAACGCAACCTTATGTACTCCATAAAATGCTGTGCATTGCGTGTCTCCATAAAAAAAATTAAGGTACCACAACATGTTTCAGAATAAAGCAGTCCTTGCTGACCTGTTTTCATTAAATACAAATGTTCTAAATCCCTGTTCATAAAATACAGTAATCCCTACACCCAAGTTAACATACAAAGCTATATCTAATTACTTTGGATGGAAAAATATATTGTCTTAAAAATATCACAGCCACTAATACATATGCAGCATAAACACTGACTAGAAGAGCCCACAGGCTCCATGTTAAAAAAAAGGGTTGTGACTAAGCTGAATCTGTGTAATTTAGATACAATTGAAGTTCACCTTTTTTTTTCACAGTTTGAAGAGCAGAGTCAATTTCTTTTATGCGCTCGAGTACTATGGGCAGTTTAGAGTTCACATCTCTTAGCAGGTGTCCACTCCCCACCTTGTCCATGTCCTTAACTGCCTCACCCTTGCTTATGAGTTCTTGTGCACTCAGTAGAAGTGCTTTAAGAGAAAACAGTTTGAACGAGACTGAAAATGAGATGTAGCTGATCAGGCGCTGATCCCTGCGGGGCAGGCTGCCTTCTTACGTGACAAAAAGCCCACCAACTTCTCTCTACCCTACCCTACCCTACCCCCCCCCCCAAGCAGAAACTTATACGAGTAGAGTGGCTATAGCAAGTTAAGGTGCGTTCTTGACAGGAATCGGCAGCGTGGGAGTGTTGTACGGCATTTCTGATGTAACCCCCACTGCTCCACGCTAAAGGAAAGAAACAAAAGAGTGTGTAGCACTGCCAATTAACCAACTCGCTTAAGATCGCGGGTATTGCTTTCGCCAGTGGTTTGACGGCGGTAGACAACACACGACAGCGTGCACATTCGCGCACACAATGATGGTTTTGGTTTCGTTTTGACAAGACAAATTGAGCTCGAGAACGGATGTGCCTGTGCTCGCGATTCTTCACGGCTAAGCGTCCAAATATGGTAGGCTACCAAATAACAGGTAAAGCTAGTAAAGACCACTTACTTCTGCTCATGTTAATGGCCAAGGTAGCCCACCGGTGCCGAGGCACCAACTCCCACGATCACGGCAAATCGGGACCACGGGCAACTGCATGCGCGCTCCAACCGCGCCAACCAACTATGCCCGAAACCAAACCGATGTGTTGGTATATAAACACTTTGTAGTAAAAAACGACATTGCACTCTCGATGAACTAAAATCGACGCCTCGCCCTGAGGTTAGACATGGTCCGGAGCCCCAGTCGAGTTGGTACGAGTCACCCGCAGTGACACCTAACCAAAAGTACACACCTCATGGTGGCCCCTGGCCAACCGTTTTCCGCTGAATTTAGAGAAAACACTAAAAAAAAAAAAAAGTTGAAATTGGCGTTTTGGAGCAGGCTGGCGCAGGGAAGTGAATTGGCGCAGGGTGGCGCAATTGGCGCAGCGCTTCCACCCCTGTGTCTAGAGGACGACGTCTGGGGCGACCTCAAGGACGACCTCGAGGACAATTTCTAGGGCGACTTCTAGGACAACCTCAAAGACGACTTCCAGGACGTCCTCGAGGAAGACTTTTAGGAGGACGCCTAGAGAAATTTCAGCTTTTCCACGCTGGCAAAAACCAGAGTGGAAAGGCTGAAAAGGTTGCCGCCATCTATGAGCGACGGCGGCAAGCCGGTTGTCTGGTATCCGCCGTCGCTCATAGATGGCGGTAGCTGTCTGGAGTTTTGTGTCGACATTAGTTTGTCCACGGACACAATACTGGGAAAACCAGCCCTTAACAGCTCCGCTGTAAAAAGTCCAAATATTGGTACCCGCTGTGGGGGGTGCGTTCATTATGCGAGTGCATTCATTATGCAAGTAAATACGGTAATACAGAAACTTTCTTGTGGCGAGCCCACCTGCAAAAAATGTCTGGCATGCAGAACGCACCTGTGGCTCTTGCTCAAGCCAATCGGGGCCTTCCCCGTGGATGACTTGCTCCCGCAACCATACTAGGCTGATGAAGGCGCACAAGGTGCAGGTGACGATGCAGCAGCCATACAGGCTGTCCGATAGCACATTCTCCCTGCATACACACGCCAATCAATCAGACATTAATTGCTTGTAGAGCACCCTTCTCTCCCACTCTATTGAGATGGTCCGAGAAATTTGTGAGTATGTTCAACATATTTTTTTTCAATTCAAACATTTATCGACAGAATCTCGAGCCCACCACCAGCAAACATCTAGAGGAAATATAATTAGGTTGAAAAATGCCTGTGAAAAGCTTTGTCTTGCTTCCTTAATACAAGCAACAAACCTTGATTATGGCATTCACACACTTAGCAGCGCCTTGCATGAGGTTACAGAAGCTTACTTTATAGATGAATGCAAGCAAAGCCTTTGGGTGGGGCCATACTCTCCGATGGGAGCAGTGATTGTAAGGTCTTGGATGCTTGCCAAACCCACTACAGGTCGTCAAAATAGCCTGCTCGTAAGCTACGCTGCATCTTCAGTGTTTATTCCAGGCCACGCTGTCAAATCTCTAATTCATACAATTTTAATTCTGAGGCGTACTGAACAAAACACGGTATGTATGTAGGTTTCCTTAGCAATTTCCTCTAAGAAGAGCATAAAGGCAAAGTCAGGAATAAGTCGAAACTTGAATTTCATCTGAGACAGGAAAGCCGGGGGTGGGGGTTGAAAGAATTACCAACTCACGTGGACAGCATGTCCAGAGGTAGCGTCAGCAGTGAACTGACAGACCCCGTGAAGAGACATCGGTAGATGCGACCTGCAGGGAACAATTTGCGTTCTACCCATTTCCGGCCCATTTTTTTAATGCACAGCATCCCGAACCATGCACAATTGAGCCAGTTTTTTTAAGCTCATTACCAATATGGCCTCGGAATTAAAATTTTTGAGAAAAAAAATGTTTTTTTCGCAAATGATATGTTTATTAACTTCCAAAGAATGGTTTCAGAAACTTTCATTTATAAACATGCTGGATTTATCTTTTTGCAAGCTTTATGTGTTTTTTTTTATTTAGCACTGCTTCATACTCGTTTAAACATAGCCAGAACGTCTCACCCTCATTGGATGTGCCATTTACTCTAGATTTAGCCTGTAGAAGCTTCCCAAGTTTAAAAGTACCAATGGCCAGGAGAACCCTATACATTCAAACAGAAAAAATCCAGAAAATTCGGTATGAGCAATCTTATAGGTTGAGACCCAAAACAGGCTTTACGATTGGTCCTACCCGGTGACGTGATACTGTGCCATCTTCAGTAACACCCTTTCACAGTATCTTCCACTTCAGATCCTATTCCTGCTTTGCTGCTCTTCCTTAGTATGATTTGCCTCCTAGTTCTTGCCAGTTTACCTGTCAAAAAATGCCTGCTACAAAAGTTAGCTAGCCTACAAACGACACAAACTGGTAGATATTTTCAGGGAAACAACGAAGTCTCAAAGGGGATCAATCCTAATGGGGTTCAATTCGCCCTGAAAGTTTCAATCAAATTGAGAGAACGGTTCAAAAGTTGACCCTCCCAGGCAATGTCCCCCCTTAAGAAATACCAAAGATTTCCTTTGTCTTTACTAAAGTGTAAAGTGAGACTTACAGGCAGTGAGCGGAACTATGCCCAACCAGGCAAAGGCCACCACGGTGTAGTGTAGCCAGTACCGTATTGCAGTGCCCAAGCTGCTCAGGAGCCCACTCACAATGTCCCGGATCGGCAGTCGCTTTGGCATGTCCGGCGAATAAACTGAGCAGGAAAAATGAACAGCAATGGTGAGTTCAATTCAACTCATATTTCTGTGAAATAAATGTCTACCATCAGAATTCAGCAAAAAAACACAGACAAATTTGATGGAGGAAATTACTGAAAGGACAAATGCAGGCGCAATCTCGGCAAACATTGCAGGTTGTGTCAAGTAATAATGCAAAAATATAAGATCAGAACTTCAACAGATACCAGTGAAGTAGGTGTGGGCAATGCATACATACTTCACTAGCTAGAATTCAAACACAACGGCGACAAAACTTGCGTAAATATATTAGACATCTCAAGTCAAAGAATGTGATTATGGATTTGCCAAGGAATGAGCAATGTTCAATAGAGCCCGGGCTCTTTCTGACCCAGTGCGCTTTTTCCTTCCTAGCAAGACAGCAAGCTCTTTAGTTTAGCTTACAAAAAGATTCAATCAGTGGGGTCTTCCCGCTCAAGTTCCTGGTGTAATCTACAAAGTGAGAAGTTAATTTTATTTATCTGACAGGGCTTTAGATGGCCTTAGAAACATTGATGTACACAGCAAAACAGCAAACAAAAGTACATTTTCACTAGACTGTTGCTACGGTTAAAGGGGCACTCAAGCGGATTCAGAGATCTATTTATGATAACTCAATCTACGGGCTCTAAGCATCCTAAAAAACCCTAGATTACACTCATGGGTGACCGATTTACATATTAAAAATCTAATCGAAGGTTGAGACAAGCCCCTCTTTTGTGCACCATGAAGCAGACACCAGAGGGTGCCGTCAGACAGCGTTTTCATGCAATAATTGGTGTTTTTACACCAATTCCTACACCTTTGTCTACTACACCCATAGATTTGTTTTTTTTTTAGTCAAAATATAATACACAACAAGCCATAAAACACCAATAGTAGTGGTAACGTTCAGGAATCCCCCTGCAATTAACGATTTTCATTGGTTAAATTTTATGGAGGGGGGGGGGACTCGAGGATTGGATTTTTATTGCTCAGAGTTTACTAGGACATTGTGCCATCTAGAACTGGTCAGTTTTATTAATAAGTCCAACAAACAATATGCAATTGAAAACAAGCATCTACAAAAAGCACTTGAGTGCCTCTTTAAATGAAGCATATCCCACAAATTATTTTTACAATATCTTGCAACTGTCCACACTATTTGCAGCCGTTAACCTCAGAGTTGGCTCAAATTTAAATTTAGTAATGTCGCAGTCCATTGACATCCAAGGGCAGTGGCAATGCTCATGAAATAACTGTCTAAACACACTCACTTGGCATAAAGGAGAAGCGATGGTTGCAAAGCTCGCAGTATTCTTTCCTGCTGTATTTCAGCCATTGTACAAGGCTGCACAAGAAAAAAAAAAAAAAATGTGATTAAAAAAAAAAAAAGGGTTGACAACTATTGCTCAATTGAACAAATACTGTCAGGAAAGAAAAAGCAACAAAGACTCCGCAATTCTTTTTTTTTTTTTTTTAACAAAAAGTAGAGTGCAAAAGCAGAAACTAACACCCGTTTCATGCTTTATAAGCCTGAAGAGCTTATAACGAGTCTTAGCTGGCAAAGCAAACAAAATGGTTTCACAGTCGCTTCAAGAATTTCTTTTGTTCGCTCCATATTTTATGTTACTCTACACTGAACCAAAGAAAACAACTGGCACAGCACACTTAAGGTTGGGAAATATTGCGAAATATTGGTACTGTAATATTTGAAACACCTGAAATGGTGTTTCAGAAATACATCTTGTAAAATTTATATTTTTGTATAGAGATGAAAAAAAACAACAAAAAAAACAGTATTTCAACTGCTGTATTAACCTAGATTTCTGGGTTGATTCCTGGTTAGGTGTCCTTGTTCATGACACCGCTAACTCTCACGTTTATCGTTCTCGTCCAGCTCCATCCCCTATTCTTTCTAAACGGTGTCCATTATGAACTCCCCAGGCACCTGACCAACGTGACAACTGCATACCGAACCGTCCTGGACGCCTGTTTCGCTCTACAATTTCCGCCTCCCACCCACACCGGTTCGGTGGCTCAGCCTGCGAGACGGTTACATGCTGTTTGGCTCCTTCTGTTTGGTGGGGACGTTACACAAAATCCTGGCCTCCGCCGCCGCCACCGCCGCCGCCGCCGCCGCCGCCGCCCCCGCCCCCCCCCCCCCCCCCCCGTCCCCACTGCTCAAAGAGCGTCTGCAATACCATGGCAGCGTTACAGTGTGACCTGTGTGACAGGTGGCATCAACCTAAGTGCGAGCTCCTGTCGCTCGGGTCATATCGGCGCCTGTCATCTTCAACCAAACCCTAGTTTTGCGCCGTATGTCAGTTGCTGCAGTTCGATGAGGCGCTCTTTTCTTCGCCCGGAGCTAATGGTGACATCCCACCTCCTCAGTCTGGGACACCCCAGTGTGCCCTGGAGGACACTCGGCAACGACCCACTGGCTCTCGTAACCCCACTGCAAGCAACCACTTCAGCAAGTTCGTTACGTTCTGGTACACCAATGGATGGAATGTGAAGAACAAACTAACTGATCTCAAACTCATCTCATCGGCTCTCCCTGACAGTAATGAGTTTCTTCTCATGGGGACACGGTTGGACGACAGTGCTCGCGACATCGAGCTCTTCGGCCAGGCCCTCGTCACAGTTCGTCGGCGTGATCACCCGTCTCACGGTGGTGGAGTGCTCATCGCCGTGCCATCTGGTCTCTTGGCAGTCAGACGGGACGACATCGAGCAGCCAGAATTAGAAACAATCTTTCTGCAACTTTATCACCCGAAGGGTAGGTCCCTTCTCGTCTGCGCCTACTGTCCGCCGTCCACCCGGGCTACTGCCTACAAGCTACTCGATACGTCCATCACAAAGGCGCTTACAAAGTACTATTGGGTGGTGTTTCTGTTTGGAGCCTTTAACAGCCACATAGATTGGTGGAGTTCTGACGCTCCTCTCCCCTCCAACGCAACTGATGGCACTCTATTAAGCCTGGAGTCAACTTCACGGATTTCCCAGATCTGCCACTTTCCCACTTAGATCCCAAACTCCAGTTTCCTCGACCTTGTGTTTGTGTCACTCCCATCCCAAAGTCATTCATGTGATGTATACTCTGGTCTCTCTGGGAGTGATCGCCTGGCCATTGATTTCACTTCCGCTCTGGTTCTACCCTGCAGAGGTCACTTTGCTCGTGTCATATGGAAGTTCCACCAGACAGGTGAAGATTACATAGCCAAACTCGCTCACCTTGCCCCATGGTGCATGACCACAATGGGCGAAGACTGCTTAGCTAACATGGACCTCTGGTGCAATTTGGCACACGCAATTCAGTTGGAGTGTATGCCTTGTGTTTCTACCCGAAGGGGACGTGCTCGTGCTCCTTGAATCACAGAGGGTCACAATGGTGTTGCTCGTCAGAAGAAGACTCTTTTCAGTATGTTGCCCGTCTGCAGTGTGCTGCGACACTCGCACAGGCTAAGGCACTTCAGCGTTCCCTTATGGCTGTCCTGCATGCTGCCAAGGTTGCATTTGCCAAGTCTATCATTCTCCATGATTGCAAGGAACCGAAAGTTGTTTGGTCTTACGTCAGTCAGCATCAAACTACTCGACATGACCCATCCTTTACATCAAATGGCAAGATTGTCACCCTCCCTGGGGAGATTGCCAACATGTTTGGCAGTCAGTTTGCTTCAGTTTTCTCACCTCGCAATATATGCGCGCGCATATATTCAAGGAGATCGCAATATATGCGCAAGCGGGAGCCAGTTCCAATATTCTCACCAATGAATCGAAGGAAACCGAGGAAAATTTGTGCAGTTGAAGTACATACTTATAAAAACAAATGCCATTATGTTGCACCATTCTATAAAACGCAACCACTGTAATTTAAAAAAAAATTGCTAATCTATACATTGGAAAATATGGTAAATGTTTTTCTAGACACTTCAGATTGTTGACTACTCCTGTAGCTTCCAAATTCTGAAGGCGCTACCGTCACAAGCTTTGCAAGTATACAATGCCCTCCCATATGTGTGGGTGGGGGTAAGGTTTTCGTGCTCAGATCTAACAAGCACATAAGATAACATTGGTTCATTTTACTGGGATGTTACGAGATCACTGCTGGAAGAGGCACCCAGATTGGGTGCCTCTTTCATGCAACGTCTCCAGGTGATTTTCACAGAATTTGTTTTTCTCAAACCGTTGAAGACCTGCCTGCTTCCCTTAAAAAACACTTCAAAGGAAACAAATCTTTTTTTTTTTTTTTTTTTTAAACAGTCTAGATGGACAAGGAATGTCGTTAAACAAAGTTACAATGAAAAAAAAAAAAATTAGAGCTACATTGACCGTGCTGGAGAGAGTTCCTGAAAGTCATGTGGCTGTGCAACTTTTTTTTTTTTTTTTTCGATCAACATTTTTGCAACTTTTTAGAAGCCACAAAAAATGGGTATCATATTTTTTTTTTTTCTATTTGTAATACCGAGTGTGTGCTTTCTATGACCTACAACTTTGATTATATTCGGTGATTGTGTCTAAACCATAAAGAAGAGAGTGAGCGCGACTCAAACCGGCCAGTTCTCGATCGGTGGCTTTCGGGCAAAAAGAAAACGAATTTCGAGCCGAAAATTGTTTTCTGGGCATTATTTTTATTATTATGATTGCAAGTTTAATGGCACAGGGGCAACTAAGTTCATCGTGCGCCACACGCAAGCTTTCGAGAAGCATTACCGGTATCTGAGAAGTAGTTAAAAGTTACAGTTGGTGGTGTAAATAGCCAACTTTGTTTAAAAAGTCACAAACACATTGGAACGGTACTAGAGCAGTGGTTCTCAAATGGGGGTCCGCGGACCCCAAAGGGTTCGTGAAGGCATTCTAGGAGTCCGCGAAGCCCTGCCTCATTCGTCAAGCCCGGCAATAAAAGTTGTCTTTTTTTTTCTGATTGAGAAGAAACGTTCAAAGTATCGGGTAAGTTTTCTCGTGTGTATATCAATTAGAAAAGTCTACTTCACACAGCTCTTCATTACATACATTTATTAAATCATTATCCTACTTAACCTGTACATTTTCCTTCCCCTCACCACGAACGGGGTCCTCCATCATCTCCACCGAACCACAAGGGGTCCGCAAAACATCAATGGTTGAGAACTACTGCACTAGAGGTTGGTCACCAAGTAAAAAGTATGGGTGGAATGGAAGGTGATTTCTAAAAAGTTCTGGGAAGCAGGATTGGCATTGAGCATTTAGACCTCTGATCTGCCATAATATATCCAGGACAGTTAGCACTTTCCCACAGTTCTCACAGAGTTTCACATCCTCACCACAAAGCAAGTACAAATGGGTCAGACGGGAGTGTGCAATGTGTAAGCGACACAGAAGGACCTCAAAACGGCGTCATCTATGAGAGGAGCTCTCCCACACCCTCAAAACAGGCTTAATGGCATGAAGCTTGTTGTCCGTTTGCATGAACCAGTCCAACTGCCGGGAGTTAATAAATTACTTTTTGAAACTTGATTTGAGACCCTGGTGGGGCAGGCCGAGAGACGTTTGAATACATTCCCTCAAATAGGCAGCAAGTTGAACTGCTTTCTCATTACTGGAAATACCCACGTGGCTGGGCACCCAGTAGAATTTTATGACATGTCCAAGTTGAAGGGCCTCATTTATCTGCACACGAACGAGCTACACAAGAGGGTTGTTACTCTCAGCTAAAAAAGAGAGGGATGTGAGAGCACTTTGAGTTTAAAAAAAAGAAGTGCTTGCATTATATTACTGTCTACGATAAAGTAGATGACTAATGAGATAGTATACAATTCAGCTATAAAAATGCTAGCAATAGGGTCAAGTTTTGTGGCTTTTCTACATGCAATGTAATGAACTGCACAAACTATAAAGGTTGAGGCTTTTGCTCCGTCAGTATAAAAGTGAACATAGTCCTTATATAGGCAGGAAGCCCCATGGAGCAACTCTGTCAGTGTTTTGCAGCAAAGTAATTTCAGTAAGAGGAATATGGAAGGATGCTGTCATACTCTCAACATGAATACTAAAAGTCCAAACAATGCTTGGTTTGTTTTCAAAAAATCGGGAGGACATACAAGTTTGAAGAGCATAGCACGGATGGTGTGGATCACTATACACCTTGTATCCATAACAGAGACTAAGATATTGCCTTTGCCCCTCAAGCGACATTTGGTGAGTCTCAGCATATAAACTAAGCACGGGTGATAAGCGAAATGCACCAGTAGCAAGCCTGAGCTCCCCCCTAGGTGATGGACAGGGTTCAACATCTTTAGGACAGACGGCCGTACCGATCCATAAACCTAGGCACCATAGTCTAAGCGAGACTGTAAATAGGGAGGCGTAAAGCTGCAAGAGACAACGTCGGTCGGATGCCCAGACATGTGCGACAGCACTTTGAGGATGTTTGAGGAGCGTAGGCACTTTTGTTTTAACTCCTTAATGTGAGGTACCAAATTAAGCTTTCTATCAAAAATGATGCCTAAAAATTTGTGTGCCTGCTTTACAGAAATAGATATACTGTTTAAATTCAGAATGGGGACTAAAGACAGCCCACAGCACAGTGAAAAAGGAACACACACCGTCTTTTCGAAAGAAATCATAAAACCATTTTCGTCTGCCTATTTTCTCCTTCTACTGATTGCGAGTTGGAGCTGCCGTTCCTAACCAGACAAGCTACAAGAAGATACCGAAATTTGCACATCATTCACATATAATGAATAAGATACTGATGGTGGTATCACCTTTGTCAGGCCACTAATTTTGACTGTAAATACAGTCACACTTAATACTCTTCCCTGAGGGACACCCTTCTCTCGGATAAAACCCTGACTGGAGAGGCTCGCAGAGATCTTTCTCGGATGTTTCGAGCAAGTCATTCTCAGAGATAACTCCACGCTAACCTTGTAATTCGAAACGAAGTTCAAGGCCAGAAGAGAGTCACTTTGTTGTTTTGTGTTTATCTTGACCAGAAGGCTGCCCCACGCCATCTTCTTGGCATTGAAGTTTGTACCGACAATGCCTTCGAGTACTTTTGAAACGAGAAATGGAGAAAGCATTACAAGTGGCCTTTTAGCCTCAGAATGCATAACAAGAAACTTTGGAAATTAATAAAATTCAAGGGACGTCGCGGGATGGTCATGGACTTCGGTACGGGCCTTTTCAGGACACGATCAGAGGTTTTGTTAAGCTTGGGACCAATAAAGATGGAAAGGAAATTCAGTGCTCGGGTGCACCGCCCACCCTGGAGCCCAACAAGGAGGTAGGGGACGTGCCACAACAAGAAAAGCTTGGCTGACACGATTACTCTACCAGTGCAGCCCGGGCACTATACCCGAGTGTGGTTGCAGGGTCAGAACCTATTTCCACCCAAGGTTGGCCCTTGATGCCTAGGAAGTTGAAAAAGAAGCGAGTGTAGAAGAATAGAGAAAGAGTTGGAAGGAAAAGTGAAAGAAGGAAGAAGAGGGTAGAGGAGGCGACTGACTGAATCATCCTGGTCAGGCCAAGCCAAGACTCCCGTTTACGAGAAGCGGGGGCCGAAGCGGTATATTGCCTCGCCCAAGGGGCCCCAAAGGGTCCAAAGGTACCCCGGGCTCAGCTCAACCACCAGGATCCCCTTTCCCCGGACATGGGTTAAGCCACGCACAGCCAGGCGTGGGTGGGCGAACCTACATGGCTCGGGGTTTCGTAGTGACGCCACTCGTCAAGCACCTACTAAACTAGGTGGCCCCTGTGTGTGGGTATGGTGGCCCACGTGGCTGGGGTCAGCGGTGACGTCACTCACCAAGCACGTAACACCTAAGGTGTAGGCACGTGTTCTGTGCAGTTGGGCTCCCATTTGTCATACACTAAATAAAACCTTGGTGAGCGTAAATACCCTGTCAGTATCCCTTTAACACTAGGCATACTAAAAGCAAAATGTTAATTCTGTCGCAAATTAATTTCAGACTCGAAAACACTAACGTCGAATTTCAAGCTACATCTTACGGTGAGTACTCATCTGTTGCTTGACCATGACCCACGCAGCACTGAATATAATTTGTTCTTAAGGTGCGTAGTTAGTCACCAGCGGGTCACGGCACTTCTACCCAGAAAAGGCGTTCAAGGCTAAGGGAATCGGATGGTTTTCCAAGCCATTCATTTTCCGCAAAGGTATTGCTCCCGCACCACACAAAAGGACTGAATGTTCGACGTCGCGCGGCTGGCATATGCGACATGACCTGCTGGTGAACCACGATGCAGTGATTCGTGTTAGGTATTTTTTCCCAACCCTGGGTACTCTTTTCTAGGACTGCTGAGACTTTCACAGCTACACACGCACTGAAGCAGAGTAGCATGACTCTCACGTAATGGGAATACACATCTGCGCTCTCACTATAGCAGCAAAAAATTAGACACGTTGCACCCTCCTAAAACTCTAAGCCTCTAAATGGGAGTAGTTGCAACCATCAACGGCCGTCACCGATTCAGATCTGCTCTAGCTGGAAAAAGCCGATACAAATTAATGGTACCATTAGGTCATTCGATGGAATCAGCTTAAATTTGTAAGAATCTCAACTAAGGCAGTAGCCAGAGAAGGTGACAACTAGCAGATACATGAAATGCTTTACTAGCCACCTAATCCATCATTCGCTGTAATAAATAAGTATTAGTGCAATAATGACAAAACAAAACATACTCATAAAAGTCAAGTATGCCAACTCCACATACTCATGTTCCCACTATATTCCGTTTACCCTACGTCGACAGTGCGGTGGAAGCAATGTGCTCGTTGGACCATTCATACCTTTCATCACATATCACGCTCCTGCCCATACCCACGAGCTGAGAGCAGAGTCATGTGATAAAAGAGAAGCGGTTGATTAATCCGATAAGCACATAGCTTCCACCTCCCTGTCAGCTTAGGGGTGAACAGAGTATAGTTGCAAGAAGTTGGCTGCAGCATTTTTTCGTGGCTTCAAGTCTTTTAAAGCATTTTGACAAGAGAGAAAAAAAAAAAAAATGCAGGTAGTGTAATAGAAGAGGGAGAGTTGTGACTGATGTCAGACTCCTCCGAGAGACTGTGAAGCTGTTTGCGAGGGAAAAAGGGGCGTCACTGTCACCGATTTGAACGTAAGGTCTGTCACACCACTGTCATGACAACCCGTTTCCGAGCGTTGAGCTTCCAGGTTCTTCCACATAAAAATACACTTTTCCAGGTCCTTCCGTATAAAATCCCAGCTTTGCGAGATTACAATATGGTGCTTACTTGTCAAGAATAAAAAAAAGCCGAATCAGCAGCAGTTAAAGCCCCCTTGTGCACTGTTGTACCCTCATTCCTGCGATATCGTTAAGCGAATACCTGTTTAAGAACATGTGGAAGATGGTGTCGCTGTCAGTTATACGTCCATACCGAGTGCCTCAGTGAACCGTCAGTGCTTATGGCATCTAAAGCACACAGACAGGGTACTGCACAGATTGCATCAAATCCGCGCGAAAATGACGCAACCGATACAAACGCTTAAATGGATAGAAAAAATCGCGCATTACCAGTCCTGATGGATATATTTGATGCTGCCAGTACAGATGCATGGATGGAAAAGTGGCTTGTCAGGAGCTCCTTCTGACCGGCACACCCGGCAAATATCTGCAATACGCGTCATTCATGTCACACGCGGACAAACATACATTTAAAAATAAAATTTACGTGAAGCAAGGTACACCAGAACGAGCTCCTCGCCAAACATTGTTCTTATCGTGGCTGCGATAACCGCGATTAAATATGGTAAAAACACAAACCGAAGTTCGTAAACACGGAGCGCGATCTTGCTCTACGGGGCTCCAACATGTAGTATGCGATTGGCAGGTCGTTTCTTTGAAATAGCGTGCTTAGCCTCAACAAGATGGATAGACGCGAACAGTTTTGACCCGGAACACAGCGCCGTACGAGTCTCTTCGGCTGATAGGCGTGAATTTGGAGGCGACACTGGCCTCACCTGGGTGGGGGAGGGGGTAGCTAGTGCCGCTCTTTCGCCCACCTGCGCGTCCCTTTAAGAACCGTGCGTGTAATTGAGGAAACAAGCAAACGGAAAACGCACTACGAATCGTCTTAAAAAAACACTAACGGATATTTTCTTACAGGTTGAAGGGGGGGGAGAGAGGCTCAGTCAGTGTCAATCAGGTTTCCGTCTGTGAGCTCAAGAATCGCTTGAACAGTCCGAGATACGCGAACGCCGGAAATCGTAAACCATTACGAGGACCCAAGCCAACGCTCAACTATCCGTGCACGAAAGAAAGCTACGTCCCTGAAATCTACGCAGGGGCGATCTACGCACCAAATCATGACCGGCGGACGGTGCCAAGGGGCAAAGCATAAAATCGCAACATCTCAGCGCTTCGCCACTTAAAGTCGCTTAAGCCTATCGGCAGAATTTCCCCCGACTTGCATCAGACCTTTCGACAAAAACCGTGTCATCTTTCGGCTCAAGTCTCAGGGTTCAGTTACGATTTATAAGCTCAAGTATTAGCCGAGAGGGTCAAAATTCCCGTGCTAAACAGCAGGTCTCGTTGGGCGCTTACCTTGAAGCTGGGAATCGTCCATGTTGTTATGTGACGTAAGCACTCGGTCGGAAGTAAATAACGTCGAAATATCCGGTTCGGCTTTCGACGTCGCCGCGTTTACCTGGACCGCCTGTACCTCAGCCCACGCTCGCACAAATAAATGTTACCAAAATAAAACAAGAATAGGAAACCCAATTGTGACACAATAAAATTGTGCTTGCAACAAACTTTAAATATAAAATAAATAATCAGAACAGAATGATGTCACGATGCGATAGTTTGCGATTGTTTGCGACGCATACGAACGTGCATACGAAAGACGAAGGCCATGAACATGAACGCGCTGCGCAGCGTATGCACGGTATGCACGGACGTTGGCGCATGCTTTGCCGAGATCGACCTCAGTGCCTCAGTGGCCTCAGCGCGTTGGTAGCGTCTCGCAGTGGCGCCTCATAGTGCGGTCTAGTACCAAATTACCGATATTTATTACTGCATCAACTGTGCGAGTGCTCGTAGTTTGCTTGCAGGGCTGTAACCTATGCCGACAGTGCTTGTGGCGTGCCTCTGGTTATGCAGGAAATTGTGACTCGTGTCCGTGCCGATATCTCAAGTGACACGCACACTTCCATGATCGACCGCTGGCCACTGATCGTGCCGCCAATCATCCGATCGCGAGCTCCGAATAGTGCGACGGGTGGTACCGTGGTACCATCGAGATCCCTCATTTCATCCCTTGCCGACGGCATGGGCTCGTCTCAATCCGACGGGGCGCAGCAGCAGCAAAGCATGTTCAAGGTGAAGGGCTTGACGCTGATCAAGGAAGCCGTCAACGGACTTGTCAAGTCCTTTCCCCGGAAAGAACCGACTGACTTTCCGGAGACTACGCTCATCAGCCTGACCAGCTTGAAGTCGCGCGTCGTCGCCGCCCTCACGGCCCAGGGAGACTCCCCCGTGTCAGGAGCTAACTCATGCTCGAGAAGCTTGCGCTCGCGTCCAAGCACTTCTCAGGCGACCGACTCCTGCGCAGCTCAGGGTCCAAAGCGCAGTGCGACAGCCATGAGCGCCCACAGCGAGCCGCCGCTGCTGCTCAAGAAACCGAAACTGGAGAGGGCGACGGACTTTCCGGAGACGACGCTCATCAGCCCGACCAGCTTGAAGTCGCGCGTCGTCGCCGCCCTGACGGCCAAGGGAGACTCGCCCGTGTCAGGAGCAAACTCGTGCTCGAGGAGCTTGCGCTCGCGTCTAAGCACTTCTCACTCCTGCGCAGCTCAGGGTCCAAAGCGCAGTGCGACAGCCATGACCACCCACAGCGAGCCGCCGCTGCTGCTCAAGCAACCGAAACCGCCGAAACTGGAGAGGGAACGATCCCCCGATCCACGACCAGCTCAAAGTTTGTCCAATTGCCCGGAGCAAACAGCCAGAGGCAAGCAATCGCTACGGAGCAGAAAACGGTACTTCGGCGCCGGCGTTTCTAGCAAGAGACCGCATGCGAATGCTGCTTCGTCAACGTACGAGAGCCGAGCGACCCCTGTGCACGTGAAGGTGGAACCCTTGGAAGAGCTGCCCCAGCCGCAAGAGGCGTCATTGCCGTGCCACTCGGCCGAGGTCTCGCCTCCTAGTAGCATGCCGAATTCTCTGCCCGGCACCAGTCCCGTCAAGGTAGAGCCTGCCAATGCACCATCCGGCGTGTGGGACATTCCCCCGAAGCTTTGGGAAGACATGCAGAGCGTGCTTTTCACACACTTAGACTCCACATAGCTTTGCACTGTAGATTAGTACTCTTTCTCCGTTGGTTGAAGAACTTCACTGCAGGCAAGCCACGCTGCAACCTTGTCCATCCAAAACCTCCATGCAAGACACTTACCTAGAGACAGATGGGAGGAAATGTCCTTGTGCAAATCATTCCTCCACCCCAGCCCTGAGTGAATGTCACCATGTTTTCTTGGCTTTGTTGTATCTTATGTACCTGCATATAAGCAGTTTTGTCTCTTTTCTTCTATTTTCTTTTATTTCGTTTGTGTAAGTGTACATACAATTTTACTGTATCTGCACCGTGCATCCATGCTGAGCCTTGTCTTGGGTCATAAAACAGAATATCCTGTTTCCACAAACTGTTTTTATTACCAAAGTCTTAAGAAAAAGCAGGTATCAAATAACCTTGACAATAAAGGAAGAAATAACAGTAAAAGCAACTTTTCCCACGTCTGACGTTAAGAGAAACAAAGTAATGTAAATGGCAGACTACCCACATTTTCTTTTTTTGCATACACGGCAATAACAAAAATAGCCAAATCCACCCACAGCACAATGCAACATCCAACAGTCTCCTGCACATATTCACAGAGGTATGCAAAGACCGCTTGACACGGGAAAATAAATTAGGCAATTCGACCAGCAGCATGGAGTTCAGTCAATGATGATGCACGGACGTTTTGGAACTTGGACATTGCCATTGTCTGTGTTCTTGCGCTTGCGGAGCTCAGTGACGAGCGGCATCGGAGTTTCTTCTTCGATGATGAGAAGGTCGTCGTCGTCGTTCGCTGCACAAACGAGAAGCATGGTTACAAAGGGACCCAAAGAAGAACAGATTGCAAAGCTATAGTCACTGACAGGGTGAGAAGGACAGGGAGGGGCTTCAACTGTCCCGCTTCCAGCACGAGCTTCCTACTTTCAATGACACTTCGGCATCTTGTGAGCCTCGAGTGCGCATGCACAGTCAAAGCACGGGAAAAGGCGATGAGCGTGTGCTGGAGGCTAGGCATTCGAAAGAGATGCTCCTGCATTCTCACCTTGTTGCCAACTGGAGTAGGATATGGACAAACTGGGTGTAGCACTTTTTAACATTTCCATTACCACACAACGCTAGAATTGGTCCAGGGATTCTGTGAGGGTGATGACATGCTCGACTGAGAACATCAAGCTTAAAGGGGCACTAAAGTGCTTTTTGAAATCCTCGTTTTACGCTCTTAACTCGATGTATGAGCTCTAGGCACCTTAAGAAAGACAAACAAAAAACAATTACATTCATGTGCAGTTTATCTGCATTCTTAAAAAATGAAAGAAGTTTACAAATCTTGGTAATGTGAAACTAGGGCGCAGCTCTTGGGGAGCAAGGAAGGGTAGGGAGCGACCTCCTCAGTATGGAAAGGAGGGGAGGGTATGCCCCTCCTCCTCCTCCTCTCCTCCTGCCGCTGAATTTGTTCATGGCTGACATGACACAAAGTCGTGACGTCATTTTCCCTGGTAAGCTTAGCGGGGAAACTGAATTGGTGTTGAGGTCACATGAAGTCAATTTCCCCGCTAACTTTAGCGGGAAAACATCCCATAATGCAAAGCGCAGTTACGGTGACGGCGCCGCCGCACTCAACTTGGAAACTGACGCCTAAGTGCTGATTTCAGATGACAGATGGCACCACTGAAACTTGTTGAATGTGGTCGAACGACGGACGGCACCTGTCAGCCACTCGCGAGCAAAGGGTTCCCACGTGGAGGAGTGGACTGGTCGGTCGCTCGTCCGTGCGGGAACCCATCGCTCGCGAATGGCTGACAAGCACCGTCCGTCGGTCAATCATGTTCAGCAAGCTTTGGTAGTGCCATCTGTCGTTCTGCGACAACGTTAAGTGTTGCAACCTTTGATCACACTTTTAGTAAGCAAATCGGCCGCGCATATATGTAATTTAGTTTTTTTTTTGGGATGCTTGGAGCTTGTAGATTGAGTTATGACCATAAAATGAGGGTCGCAAAAAGCACTTAAGTGCCCCTTTAAGGCTTTAGCTTTTTTCTTGTTTATTCACCTATCATGTTGAAATTTGGTTTGTTGATGTATTTCTCAGCAGCACTTTCAAATATGCTATTAGTTACCATACAAGTCTACTAGATCCTGACTTATCAATTAATTTTGGTTAGGTTCTTTTTACAAGTCATTTAGCGTAAAATTCCCATATATAAAATATTTATAGATTTGCATTCACTAAAACAAGCTTTGTGCGGTGGTGCTATTTTAAGCCCAATTTAGATCAGAAATCATTTATGACCAAGCTGCACAAAATGGGAAGCTATATCTTTCAAAGACTAAGTAAATAAAATTATTGTTTAACATAAAATGCAACAAGAAAAGCATCACTGTAGGACGCATGTCTTGCTAAATGCCAATCTCTTAAAGATTCCCAATATTCTGAAGAATTTTCCACCAATGACCCATAAACAGGATCTCTAAAATTACAAATTTATTGATAAGTGAGAATCTTGTACTATCTTAATGACAGTTAGCGGAAACACAGGAGCACGTTGCATTGGGTATCATCGGAACACTCCAGTGGCCAAGCGTGCAATTGCAACTGCAGTGTTGCGGAGGCGCTGCAGTTGAGCACCGGGAGGTTAGAGCACTCCGATAGTACCCAATGTCATGCGCTCCCATGTTCCCACTAACTGTGATTAAGATAGCACGACTTTTTAAAAACTAATTGCATTTTTGAAATCATTACTGAGAAATACAGAAGTGTACTCATTTCAGCACTATAAATGAACAAACAAAAAAGTTAAAGACCTTCATTCTCCCTTATTAAGAGGATATCATCGTAGAAAAGCCCACACATTTCCTATGGCAACTTTTTGGTCCTTATTCTCAATATCTACTGAACCTATTGGCGTCAGAGTGGGTGTATTCAAAAGAAAATTAAAAAAAAAAAAAAAAGTCACAGCTTGGCGGATTTACATTTTTCGATTATTTTTGTTTTAAGGGGGTCTAATTCGAAGAAAAAAGCCCCCTACCTCCTTTTTTAGCTTTCACAGTTACGAATTTTAGAAATTAAAAAATAAATACAAATTGTAATGCAACGTTGCAGTGTGAAATGTATTTGTGAATCTATATCTGCTAATAGATTCCTCGGCTGCATCGTCGTTACAAAATGAATCATCGTTACAAAATTAATGCGTAGAGCCCAAGAAATGAACCATTTCTTGGGCTCTACGCAGTCGGGCCATCCCGTGATCGTGTTCACTAAACTCTATGTGTCAGCGAACAATGAGTATGTGCAGCACTGTATTTGCTGTGTACGCCCTCACTAGATGGCGCCACCGACCCGCTCTGCAACGACTGCGCCGAAGAAGGCTAAGAAAAACCAGTGGTGTTAACTTAGCAAGAAAGTCACTAAATTTAGAGTGTTTTCAGTCGTCCTAACGACAATTTTGTGTTTTTGGAGCCTTGGCAACTTTTTTTTTTTTTTCCCAGTTACGTAAATTGTTTTTACTGAAGCTAAGTAGATGGGATGGGGGGGGGGGGGGGGGGGGGGGGAATATGTCAGTCAGATAGCTCTCCGGTGGCTTTCAGGGGACAGCTTTGGGTGTCACTCATTTTTATTCATCCTGTTGTGGGTGAGGTGATGTTGGTTCACGCCGGTTAACGCGAAAACGAATGCATTCTTCGACCCCTAATCACTTTAGAACCATTCCATTTTTCAGGAATTATCAGGTGCTTAAAAAAATCCTTTGTAACCATGGGCGTACCAACCGGGGGGAGGCAAGGGGGGTGCTTGCTCCCCCCAGTTCTCAGAGGAGGGGGGGGGGGGGGGGGGGGGCAAGCCACTCAGTACCATATGCACTGAGGGACAAGTTGGAACTGGAACTCCAACGACTTGAAGAAGGCACCATCACGGCCATAGACCACTCTGACAGGGCATCCCCCATCGTACAGTGCTAAAAGCTGATGGCAAAAGTGTCAGGATTTGCGGGGACTACAAGCTAGGTGTGAATCCTGCAGTGATGACAACCCAGTTCCCACTGCCCAAAGTGGAAGACATCTCTGCTTCTCTGCAGACTTCCGTGAAGCATACAACCAAGTAATCGCTGATAAAGAAACCAGCAAGCTCCTGGTCATCAACACACACCGAAGACTCTTTGCTTAAAACCGTTTAGCATTTGGCGAGTCCTCGGCTCCGGCACTGTTCCAAAGAAGAATGGAAGAGACCCTGCAGGGAATTCCAGGAACATCTGTCTACATGGATGATGTTCTGGTGACTGGAAAGATCAATGCAGAACATCTAGAGAACCTAAGGAAAGTTCTCCAAAAAGTCAAAGACTCTGGACTGAAGCTCAAGCGAGAGAAATGCGAGTTTTTCAAAGAATCACTCTGCTATCTGGGCCATGAGATAAACCCAAAGGGGCTGAAGCCTTCAAAGAAAAACGCAGAAGCTATCATTGAAGCACCTGAATCCAGGGATGTCCAGGAGCGGATTTAGAGAGGGGGTCCGGATGTCCTGACCCCCCCTTGATTTCTGCATGTGTAAAATTTAGGGCGTAAAACGAAGGAGAGGGGGAGGGGGTTCCTAAACATATGGTACGCTGACCAACACCTGACCCCCCCCCCCCCCCCCCCTCAGGAGATTCCTGCATCCGCCCCTGGGGATGTCAGTGAACTGAGATCCTATATTGGACTTCTTGCGTACTACGGCAAGTTCATTCCGAATCTGTCCACAATACTTGCATCCTTGTATTCCCTATTGCACAAGAACACCCGCTGAAAATGGACAGACACTGAATGAAAAGCCTTCGTTGAAAGCAAGACTGCCATCATGGAGGCAAGGGTCCTGACCCACTACGACCCATCAAAAGAGCTTGTTCTGGCATGTGATGCCTCACCGTATGGTGTGGGTGCTGTGCTCTCGCATCGGAAGGATGGCGTGGAGTCGCAACTAGCATTCGCATCCCGGACTCTGACACCGGCCGAGCGGAATTACTCACAGTTGGAAAAGGAAGCACTGGCCATTATTTTTGGTGTCACACGGTTCAGAGACTACCTGCTGTGTCGAAGTTTTGAGCTCATCACTGACCACGAGCCACTTGTGGGGATTTTTCGGGAAGACAAGGCAATTCCAGCCATGACAGCTTCGCGCATCCAACGCTGGGCTCTTACTCTTGGAGCCTACAGGTACAGCATCAAGCACCGACCCAGGACGTTTCAACGGAAACGCCGATGCCATGAGCAGGCTGCCCTTGAAGACTGCACACACAGATCCTCCGGAACCTCTGGAACTGGTCAAGTCAATTTCGAGCTTAGAAAACTGGAGATTTCAGTCAAGCTACTACAACAATTCACAAACAGCGACAAGGACTTAAGCCAAGTGCTACAGAGGGTGGTGGAAGGATGGCCACAAAAGCCTCCGGACAAGTCACTGCAACCATTTTGGAACAGACGTGATGAGCTAAGCGTGCATCGGAATCTCCTGTACTGGGGAAACCGAGGGGTTGTGCCAACCCCTGCTCGCCAACGCATCTTAAACCTGCTGCATGAAACTCACCAGGGAATGGTGGTCATGAAAGGTATGGCGAGATCCCTTGTGTGGTGGCCGAACATGGACGCAGAAGTAGAGCGCTGTTCACAACAATGTTCACAGTGCCTCCAGAACTCCCCAATGCCACCAAAAGCAGAACCCGTACCTTGGCCCGAACCAAAGGTATGCTGGGAGTGTGTGCATCTCGACTATGCAGGACCATTGGAGGGGAGGATGCTACTGGTGTGGGTAGATGAAAAGTCAAAATGGCT